GAATTTTTCCACTCTTACGCATTTAATAAGTTATTAAAGTGACAATTTTGGTCGTTCAATTCAACTAAGATTGTGCACCCATAAGTGGATGAGCAAAACTATTAGAGGACGGAAAGCATCACTTTCATTATATATTTATATCTAAATGGCGAAACTTGAAAACCCTACCAAACTAGTATCAAACATGTTTCAATCAAGACTAAAAGTGAAAGAATTGAGATGTGATAGTAAAAAACAATTACACTGTCAATGAAAGAGGTATGAGAAAAACCAATAGGTACAAATGATGAACGAAAGGTATAGTTTTTGTCATGGAAAATTATACTTGTACACAAAATTAGTACACAAATTGTACACATCCCCTAATTGCATGTGTACACAGACAATTCGTTTAAAAATCGGTAATTTTCGCTCAATTACCTGTGTACACAGGCAGTGTACAATTTGTTTATAATTTTTATATACGACAAGAATGACCCGTTTGTGATACTATCTTTTCATGAATATTTTATGCGTTTGAGACTTTGAGGTAATTAATAATAACATTTGAGTTACCTGCATGGTGTTAGTTGGAGAAGGAGCGTAAAGAGATTTTGGAGGGTCCAAAGTATATGTACCCAGCTGCATTTGTGACATTCAAAACGCGGTGGGGGGCTGCTGTTTTTGCCCAGACACAAATAGACCAGAACCCTCTTCTCTGGCTCACCAGTCGAGCCCCTGAACCTCGAGATATACAATGGGAGAACCTCTCAATCTCTCCTCTTTCTATAACATTCCGGAGAATCTTCATTGCCATACTGTTGTTTGCTTTGATCTCCTTCTACATGATACCCATTGCGTTTGTCCAATCTCTCGCAAACTTGGAAGGTTTAGAAAAGGCCGCACCTTTCTTGAGGCCATTAATTGAATGGTAAGTATTTAAGTTGTACATGTTTACTCTCTCTATTCTCTATATTTACATCATGATACAATATCCTTCTGTCTCTTATAATTTTAATTTGTTAAGTTTGACCGACACGAAGAATAATACGTAGTAATATAAAAAATTGTGTGGTGATGGTTTGATCATAGGGGATCTAGAGAAATAACATGAACCACATAATAATTGATTAAACGGGAAAATGACAAAAAATTATTACAAGGGACGGACGGAGTAGAAGGCTGTGGCATTGTCTTTATTTGATTCCGAAATTGGAGTAATATGGCAGTAAATTTTGAGGATGATAGTAGTTAGAGAAAAAAGCATAGTAATCAAACATTGTTTTTACTTCTATTTAAGAATTTTCCCTTTTTATTTCCCTATATCTTGATCAATATCATAGAAAGCAGTCTTGTTATTCTTTGATTTTGATTTCTGGGGATCAGTCAGGATTCAGAGTAATGACCTGAACAAACCTTTTTATTTATGAGTTCAAACTGATTGAACTGGTAGGTTATATTTACTCATTGTCTCGAGTATTAGAAAGCACTAAGCAGTAATGTATTGTTTGGTTTCACTTTTGTTGAATTCATGCAGGAAGGTGATCAAGTCATTCCTACAAGGTTTCGTTCCTGGTGTAGCTCTTAAAATCTTCATGTTAATTCTCCCAGACATTCTTCTGGTCATGTCTAAAATTGAGGGACACATTGCGTTATCAGCGATTCAAAGGGAAGCAGCAGAAAAGTATTATTATTTCATTTTGATCAATGTATTTTTAGGAAATATTGTGCTAGGCACAGCTTTCCAGCAACTCCATGCTTTTCTTAGCCAGTCTGCTTCACAGTAAGTATATATGCATTATTTTAAACCCATCTATTGCATCAATCTACTTTTTTTAATTTATGGAAAAAGCATTGGTCTGCTTATAACCACTATATATATACTTCTATATTGCAAAGCATATACTCCCTCTGTCGCTGATTAAACATCCAAATTTCCTTTTTGGTCGTCCCAAAATAAACTTTCACTTTCCCTTTTTGCTATCGTAGACCACATGCTTATAATTTCCAATGCGTTTTTTGATTACTTACATTTTTGTTATTTGAGAATGCAGAATACCAAGAAATGTTGGAGTATCGATACCTATGAAAGCTACCTTCTTTATTACATACATAATGGTGGATGGGTGGGCGGTCGTTGCTGCTGAGATTCTCAGGTTGAAAGCCTTAGTCATGTATCATCTCAAGAACATATTCGCCAAAACCGAGAAGGACAGATATAATGCAATGTACCCTGGGGGTGTAGAATTTCACAAGACCCTCTCCACTCTTCAACTATACTTTCTTCTTGGTAGTGTATATGCGGTGGTTACTCCAATTCTTATTCCTTTCATCATTGTCTTCTTCATCTTGGCATACTTTGTATTCCGTCATCAGGTGAATGAGCAGGAGCTTATCTCTTGGATATAAGATTAATTCATCAAATCTGTTAATGTATCCTTTATGATGTAACTAAGATCTTTATATATATGCAATTACCTATTATTATTATTTGCTAACATTTGGAAGTATTATTGGGTTTATTATTATTGTGTAGGTTATCAATGTATATCATCAGGAATATGAAAGTGCTGCTGCATTCTGGCCGGATGTCCATGGCCGGATAGTAGCAAGCTTAATCATATCTCAACTTCTTTTGATGGGTTTACTTAGTACAAAAAAGGCTGCTAAGTCAACGCCTTTGCTTCTTTTGTTGCCTTTTTTCACCTTCGCATTTCACAAATATTGTAAGAGCCGATTTGAACCCGCGTTCAAAAAATATCCTCTTAAGGTAAGAATTTATGTACTTGGCAATCAAGAAGATTCTTAATATTTCTGGTGATATTATTAGACCTTTGTCTACTAAAAACTTTTAAACTAGTATAGAAAATATTGTACTACTTTACCTCTAGTGTGACCTTTTATTTTATATTTTGATAAAATACCAGGGGCAAATTCATTTATGATTTGATTGTTTGTTTGGCATCTATAATCTAACTTGAGATCATTTTTATGATTGATCTTCTTTTTCACCTTTGGGGTGTCTTGAAGTATTTCCTACTACGTTAAGATATAAAATACTAAATCGCTCTAATACAATTTTGTGATAATGCGATCCTGGTATGTCAACGATGATCACCTCTACTTCGAAATCTCATCTATGTTATTCCTCACAATTTTTCAGGAAGCAATGGCTAAGGACAAGTCAAATGGTGAGGCCGATTTGAAGAAATATAAGGATAAATATCTGAATCCGTTTTTGCTCCCATTCCAAGAAGTTTAATTGGATGGCATTTAAGTCAAGAGACAAAAATAATCTAAGTTCTTCTAACTTCCAAGTTTGCTAATCTAGCGGTCTAGCGATCTACTTCACTATATATAATGAATATGAGCATTGATCAATGTCATACCATAATGTATTATACAATCCATTATTGATGTTCCCAGTATACATACTAATCTCTGGTGGGAGTATCCTTTGTTTTCGTAGATACATGTCACAAACAAATGTTATTCAGAGTAAGTTTGTTTGTATTGTATGTAGTAGTTGCTAACTGATCAAGGAGGTGATAAGGCTATAAATAATATGTGCATTTGTACTAGTGGAATTATGGATTTATAATTTGTACATCACAAAGTAGGAATAATCTTGTTTGTAGGAACTCTTGTTAAGATTAATAGTAAGAAGATATACGAGTATGTGTATTATCATTTAATATTTAACAAAATAATAAAAACATATTGAATAAGAAAACATAACAACTTAAATAGAAGAAAGAATGCATGTTGTCTACAATAAGATAAATTTAGGAGTAAGTTTGGGATACTAATTACTTCGTATATTACAAGTACTAGATTTTTCACCCGTGCGTTACGTAGGATGAGTTTCGATGAGGTGTTTGGGAAATAGCATTTCAACCGAAAAATCGCGGTTTGATCCCATTTAGCGTTTTCAGTAAGTGAAAATGTTGTTTGATAAATAGTTGTTCGGTCTTAGCGTTTTTACACGGAAACATTGAAATGAAAAAATTGCAAATGAAGAGTTTTGGGTTAGCGTTTTCTATTAATTATTGTGATCAAACAGCTAAATTACCAAACATCTAATGTCAACCCGTCAACTTATTCCGCTAGTCAAACCCGTTGACTGAATCCGCTATTGACAACCCGCTAACATCAATTGGGTACCCGAACTAAAAAAAGGTCCGATCCAATCCTCCAACTCTTCAAAATCGTTCAATTTTTTCGTTTTTCAAAGGCTAAAGGGTCAAATAGGTCCCTGTACTTATATCAATAGCTCAATTGAGTACCGGGAGTTAACCGGCTAAAGGGTCAAATTGAACGATTTTGAAGAGTTGGAGGATTGGATTGGACCTTTTTTTAGTTCGGGTACCCAATTGAGCTATTGATATGAGTACAGGGACCTATTTGACCCTTTAGCCTTATTTGCTAACCGCCAAATGTCAAATACGTCATTATGTTTTTAAACATTTAAATTCATAGAAATAGCTGTATTTATGTAAACAAATTGGTGTTGGCCATTAGGAAATAAATTGAATTGCATTGGTCAGTCATATTCACTTATTTAATCGCAAGTGCTAATTTTACTTGGATTGTTTTCAGTCTCAGATCAAAACAGATCAGATAAAATTTGGATAGTTATAAAACACGCAGAGACTAGACACTTACCAGATCAGGTCTATTCAGATCAGATCAGACGAGATCATATCAGATTAAAAAATTTCAGTCCAAGTAAAAACATCATCACATATCCAACTGAGACGATGTAATCTTTAAATTTTATATGCAATCATGTGGAAAGATTTAAGAGTAATGGGCCAAACAGTCAATGTAAAATATTGTAAATCCATCACCGCGAGGTATCTTGCATTCTTGCATCCGTTTGACATGTTGTTCAAATATCATTGTGTACAAAAGTATGGAGTATTTACCGAGGTAAAAATAAAAATACTCCCATCTCTTTTTACGTTATGTAAGAACTTAAAAGCTGTTTTGATTCCTTTCCTAAACGAATCCCGTGATTACGGCAACTAATCAGCGATTTTGTCATAATAATTATTACGAGTCTCGTCTCTATGTTCTTATGGTCTTACCAGTTACCACCTTTTCTGAGCAACTTTCAATGGGAGCTCGAAATTTCCAGAACATATGCCGAATATTGTACTAAACGCAACCCGTGACGAACCCATCCACGTCCAGGCAAACCACACTCCCCTTTAACCATCTCGAGAAACTTCTATTTCAGAAATTTGAAAGAGGGCAGTAGAAATTGGACGATCCCGAAATGAGAAATCACTACATTTAGGTTAACTATTTCAATTTTCGTGTTGAAGAGGGATGGCGACATTGACGGACATTGGAGTATCGGCGTTCATAAACACGGTGACCGCCATAGCTTTCCTGCTTGCCTTTGCTCTGTTAAGGATTCAGCCCATCAATGACAGGGTTTACTTCCCAAAGTGGTACATTCTCAAAAAGCGGAGTGAGGAGGACCCCGGCGGCGAAGGTCACAACTTCGTCGGCAAATTCATCAACCTCAATCTCCGGACCTACCTGACTTTCCTCAACTGGATGCCTCAGGCTCTGAAGATGAATGAATCCGATCTCATAGGTCATGCTGGCCTTGACTCTGCTGTCTTCTTGAGGATTTATACCCTTGGGTATTCAATATTCTCACCCCTTTCTTCTTATTTAATTTTTTTGGTTTTTTTTCTTAGGCGTTTTTTGCCATATTTTTTTATAGTGCGCCTTTATTTAATACGGAGTAATGGTTTGTGTTTTACCCAACTCCAAAAACTCTAACTTCCACATCTTTTACTTCCAAATAATAAAAATATAATAGCTCTGGCGGAGTCATAAAATTATTTTAGGGCGGTGAAGATTTAGAGGTATAGAGAAGTGTCAATTTGGTCCTAATATCATCGTGAAAACGCCAATTAAGTTCTTATAATTTAAAAACAATCAATCAAATTCTTGAACTTTGAAAAAACGTTCAATGTGTCAATTAGCAGGTCACCCGCTGACGTGACTCAAACATGCGGCCTACGTGTGCCCCACATCATCGGGAAATGACTGACTTGGCTTCCACGTGTGTGCCATGTCAACAAAGTCACCGTTAATTGGGCTGCCACATCAACAGCGGACTTGTTGACGTGGCACGTGGGTTTCCAGAATTCAGGGGTTTGATTGATTTTTTTTAAAAGTGTGAGGATTTAATTGATGTTTTCGTGATAGTACAAGGACGAAATTGATTATTTTGCCAAGGTACAAATAATACTAAGATTTATTTGTTTATACCAAGTAGATAGTACTTCGTATATTATAAGTTCAAATGATATCATAGCCCGTTTGGTGACCCTGTTTTTCAGCTTATCAGCTTCAAAAGCGGATTGTTTCACCAAATAAGTAACTTTTGATTTCGTGCGTTGAGGATGTTTTTACTTGGACTGTAATTTGCTGGTCTGGTCAGGTCTGTTTAAGCATGGTCTGGTCTTGTCTGGTCTGATCTGGTCTTGTAAACGTCTGGTCTCTATGTGATTTATAACTGTCAAGTCTAGTCTGGTCTGTTTAAGTTTGGTCTAGTTTTGTCTGGTCTGGTCTGTATAGGTCTGGTCTAGTCTGGGACTCAAAATAGTCCAAGTTAAAACATCCTGAGTTGTGTACTTATCAAAATATGTATGGTTATACTCCGTAGTTATTTTTCTGGCTAGATTGGTTGAAGTTACTGCACAGATCCATTTTAGCTACTTTTTCACATACATATTTTAAATTTTATTAATAAAATATATTTTAAATACATTTTTTCATAATTCAGTAGAATCAGTCAATTCATCCATTTCAGCCATAACTTCATAAATTTCAGCAGAATGAGCTGATTAAGCCAATTCCAGTGTTATAAAATGAGCTCAAATTTTCAAAGTGTTTTAGAGAAATGAAATATTATATATATATATATAACAATTAACAAATGTCAAATGTATAAATTATTATTATGGGTATGGGGTATATATATTAGTTGGACTAGTTTCAGACTTGATTAGATCGAACTTAAACAAATCAGATCAGCTAGTTAACTAGACCAAACTTTTACACTTATAAAATACACACATAATAGACATCTAGCAAATTAGTTCAGATCAAACCAGACCAGACTTAAACGGATAATTCAGACCAAATTAGGGAATTAGTCTAATTAGGAATACAACCTCAAATTTTATCCATTTCAAAATTCTAGATAGTGTTTTATTTTTTAAAGACCTTTAGTTGACTCATAATGAGTTACACGACCCATAACTAGGATGCTAATCAAGCAAGTCTACTTCCAAGCTACTCGAGATTGACTCGGTTATTACTCGAACATAGCTCAACTCGACTCATACTCGAACTCGACTCGAACCAAACCAAGTCAAACTCAAGCTATATACAATTATACATAAACTCGAAAAGCTAGCAAGCTACTTGATTATGAGTTAGGGTTGATTGTTTAGATTCGTATATATATATATATATATATATATATATATATATATATGTATATCTATATATGTATATATATATGTATATCTATACATGTATATATATATGTATATATATACATATATATATATGTATATATATACATAGATACATATATATGTATATATATATATAGATACATATATATGTATATATATATCTATATATATGTATATATATATATATAAGGTATGGATCAAATAAAAATCATTCTTATCATGAAAACTGCAAACCATCCACTTTTTCCACAGCGTGATGCACTATTACGTTTCTGTGTTGCACTTTTCCGCATTGACAGAAATATTTGACTTATTTACAAAAACGCCTCCGGATTTTTCTTATTTAGCATGGTTCGACTGAAATTCAAAAAGTGCAACAGATCACCCTTAAAGTGCATCACATTCGGATAAAAGTGAACGGTTTTCAGTTTTCACGTTAAGAAAGGTTTTTATTTGATCCGAAACCTATATATATATGACATTACATCATACATTTTTTAAATAAAAACATCATGTATTCATAGTATGGATCCATACATAAAAATTATATTTAGGAAAAATTCCCAAAATAGAAGTAAAAAAGTTTGAAAATTTCAAAATAGGACCGCCATGTTTCCCCCCACCCCTAAAATAGGGGTAATTATTGCCAAGTTTGGAAAATATTGTCATGTTTAAAATTTGGTATTGCTAAAACATGACAGTAATTAGTCCTATTTTGGAAATAAAAACATGATAGTCCTGCTTTTGAATATACAAACGTTTTTAGTCCTATTTAGGGTAATTTTATTTATATTTATCTCCTACTAAACATATACTAAATCTTCACATGATGCATAATGTTTTAGAAAATATTCTAAAAGTGTTATGTAGATTATAGACATTCTTAGGTAACGCTCAAGCAGAATTAAGTAGGACTAATTGAACTTAGTTCATCTTAGATTTAGATAAATCATACGTAGTAGACTGCAAAAAGTGTCCTAATATCTAAGAGACAACTAGACGGAAAATTTTAAAACAATGTTTTTATGTTTAAAAAGTTATTGATGATTGCACGTGTGTGTTTGAACGAATAACAAATTAAACTTTTTATTTTAAAATATATCATTTTTAGAATATATAAAACTCGAATACAACTCGAACTCAGACTCAACTCAAACCATGTCATAATTATTTTTTTCCTTGAACTCGAACTTGAACTCAGCCTTTCTTTATCAAGCCCAACTCGATTTAACTTAAATCAAACTCCACTCCCTTGATTAGCACCCCTACCCATAACATACATCAAATATCAAATACATAGTAGAAGGTATTTGAGGGTGTCAACTGTCAACCCAGACACTGCCTTGGTTCTGCCCCTGGATAGTAGTATTTCTATATAATCATAATAACATAGGTGTATTAATAGTGGTATCCTCCTCAGCATCACCTCTGGGCTCTGGTGGCGGCTGGCATATTTTGGTGCCACTTTCAATGGCGGCTTCTATTTAACTGCATCATCTTGTCTGAAACGGGAGATAATAGGAATAGCAGTAGTGCAAGTGTGCAACTATGTATCCATAGTAGTATATCCTTATTTTTAAAATTTTACTTAAATGTGCCAACATATTTAGTTGAGCTGTTTGTGACTCATGATTTGGTCAGGTCTTCTTTTTTGTACGTAGTTTGATCTAAAAAGATCAGGCTTTTCACAATGACTAAAAAAATGAGTAAAAGTTCGTGGATGTTTAAAAATAGAAATAATGACTAATATATGACTAAAATGAAGATGATAGAAAAAAATTGTGACTTCAAAATGCATCGAGCATAGTAGTGATGGTATTGACTATGATTATGTTCCATTTTACACTGCAGCAACCATGACAATATAATAATAGTAACTCTGGTCATATTTTTATCAATAAGTTTTATTTTAGTAATATTTTATCAAAAAACCTTAAAAATAAATAAATTATACTATATATAAGCTATTTCAAGGTACTCTTGCCTTGATCCCATTGATATTTCATCCTAAAACTTCAATCGGTAATGGACTATGATACCATGTTAAGAATTATAGTTTTATCTTAAAACATTAAGAAGTAATCTCAAAGTTTATACATAAGCGTTTGTTATTATATTAAGTCTATTTGGGATGACTTAGGATGTCTTACTTGGACTGAAATTTCCTAGTCTGGTATGGTATGGTCTGGTAGATGTTTGTCTCTGTATATTTTACAATTGCCGAAGTCCGGTTTGGTCCAGACTTAAATAAGTCCAATTTAAAACATCCTTAATACTTGCAATAATTTCCTAGAAAGAGTTAAAAGATGGTTAAATCCCTCTTACATTATGTTTTCATTTCAAATGGTAAATGGTTAAGTCTCTAGGTCTCTAACATTACGGTTTTCAACTCATCGCACACTGGAGTTTAAACTTTATCAGTTATCGCACACTGGAGTTTAAGACTTGGTTAGTTTAGATTTAGTTCTACTCTAAAATGCATTCTCTTAGCTGGCATCTCCTACACATGTTTGCAGATGTTTATACTATATATATGTTTCTGCATTTTCACATTCAGTTAGAATTCCAACATTTGATCATTTACAATTTCGTATCATACTCATGTCCTGTACGCTGATGCTCTTGCATTTTTTACTGTTATCCGGTCATCGGAACTTTTTCAAGTGGGTTTGTATGTGTGTTTATTTATTTTATATTTTTAATTTCTCTTATTTTTGGATTCCCTAGTAATGAACTATCTGTCTTTGACAGTTTAAAGATATTTGGACCAACAGCCATTGTAGCTCTCTTGGTTCTTATCCCAGTTAATACTTCAGATGGAACTCTATTCTTCCTCCGTAAGGACCTGGTCGTTAGTGAGATTGACAATTTGTCCATATCCAACATCAGGCCCAAATCGATGAAGTAAGTCTTATTTCCGAATGATAATTAGATTTCTATGGTTTTTGCACTATGCTCTATTCGAATATATTCCCTAAAAAATCCATATTGCTGTAATCAATTTTCTGATGTAGCAATAAATACAACTTTTTGTAATATGTGCTGTCAAATGGAGAAGAACGACTTAGCGTATTGATGTTGTAAACTAGCATACATTCTATGACTAATTAGTAATTACACATATAAGTCAACGGCTTAACTAAATTCTACTTTTTTTCTTTTTTTTTATGCTTAATATAAGCTGTATAGGTTTAGTTGGTCTGGCACTAAAAAGAGATATACTTGTTGATTCAGATTTTTTGTGCACATAGCAATGGAGTATTTGTTCACATTTTGGGTCTGTTATATGCTATACAAAGAATATGGCAGAGTGGCGTCAATGAGATTTAGTTTTCTGGCTTCTCAGGGCAGGCGAGTTGAACAGTTCACTGTGAGTAACAATCAACTTATTGTCCTTTCTAATGTTTGAAAAATGTGATTTTATTCTTTCATCAAGGTTCATCGGTTTCAATTTTGACCCATACAGTGGCAATTTTAGATCAAATCTATGATTTCTGGTCGAGGCATTGGTAGTCTGCTTGGAAAATTGGTCCATGCTTTTAAACCATCCAACACTGGAACAAAAGATACTACTCCCTCTGTTCCATTTTACGTGTCTTACTTTCCTTTTTGGGTTGTCCCAAATTAAGTGTCCTATTATATTTTTTGGAAAGAAATATGTGGTCCACAACATTTCACTTTATTATACTCAAACAACAACCACTTTATATATAGTTGTGCGGCTTGTGCCAAACCAAAGTCCAAAACAAGACACATAAAATGGGACACTGTGTAATGCATTGGACTACTCGTCCTATCTGGTCAAGCTTTTAGGACTCCAAATATACTATGGTATCATATTCAACCAAGTTCAAACAAGAAACAGGTTCGGGTAATACTATAAAGATGACACAAATTTCAAAATGGGGGTTGATATGATAAGGATATTAAATTTTTCTATCATGTTTACCATTTAGAATGTAATCATAAGCCTGGTAGTTTATGATAGATTTCCACCTCTGGCTCATCTTTTATATGATTAGGAATCAATATGCCAATTTTGGAGAATATGATGGCAATTGGTAAGTGTCTCGATTACAAGTCGCAGGCTGGATGTGAAATATGATCATAGTTGACGGACCGGTAGAGAAATTACATCACTTAGGGTTACAGTAGACTGTTTATGCATCTTGCTCAGTGGATTTTCTTTTATTCTGCTGAATGTTGTTCTCAATGAGTAATATAAAAATGCACTCCAGGTACTGGTCAGAAATATACCACATCAATCTGGACACTCGATATCAGATAGAATCGAAACGTATTTTAAAAAGACGAACCCGGATCACTATCTTTGCCACCAGGTATCAATGCATCACAGTTCTTGTTTTCTTTTCTCAATCTTCCACATCATCATTTTGCATACAGTTTTCATATGTTTTTTTATATATTTTTTTCAAATAATATCTGTAATGTATCTTATATGCATGACTAGAAACTTGTATTTAATCCTTGCTAACATCACTAACTTCTTTAGGCTGTCTATGATGCGGGCAAATTTGCCAAACTTGTCAGAAAACGAAATAGGCTTAAGAATTGGCTGGACTATTACCAGATCAAGTTTGAAAGAAATCCAGATAAGAGGCCAACCACTAAGGTATCTACAAAAGCATCTCTTTCTGCTATATATACATTAATTAACTGCACCCTTTACCAAATTCTTATCTTCAGATAGGTTTCCTTGGACTATTCGGTGCAAAGATTGATGCAATTGACTACTATAACCATCAAGTTAGAACACTGGACAAAAGAGTAAGCTGTGTCTTCTTGATTCTTTTGATTTATTAGTTACCCAACAAAGAAAAAATACTTTACCCCCTACCACCCGCTTTTTTCGAAAATTTCCTTTAAATATTACTAGTAACCACCCATTAGACAAAAATGTCAGGTTATTAATGTTAGGGCAAAAAAGTTACTAACATAGTTACCTACAGTCAAATGGAGATGACCAATTATCTACGCAGTTACCAATAGGTGATTAGGTACCAGGTTTGTAACATTTTGTTTGAAAATGAGGAGGTAATATTTTTGTCTAATTGGTAACAAATTAGTAATACTCGAGGGGAAATCCTTTTTTGTTTGAACTGTGTGCATATATCCCATCACTTGTTGATCTGTTCTTGTTATGTATCTGCTTGAAGTAATATTCTTTGTTTCCATCGTCTTAGTTGACATTGATGCGTGACAAGATTTTGAAAGACCCAAAATCCGTCACACCAGCTGCATTTGTATCATTCAATTCAACATGGGCGGCTGCGGTTAGTGCTCAAACACCACAAAGCAAGAACCCCACAATGTGGTTAACAAATTGGGCCCCTGAACCTCGGGATGTATATTGGAAGAATCTTTCACTTTCATTTCTTTCTCTAAGTCTACGGAGACTGATAATACCCATATCAGTGTTTGCCTTGGTCTTCTTTTACATGATACCTATAGCTTTTGTGCAATCGTTGGCTAACTTGGAAGGTTTAGAAAAGGTTGCACCTTTCCTTAGGCCATTAATCGAATGGTAAGTACATATTCTCTCTGTCTCAATAGAAAGCATTTGCATTTGACTGTTGTATTTGGAATAACAAGATAGAGACAATTTGGTGACACTTTCTTATATGAAACCACTAGCTCCCTTTTGAGCTAATTGTTAAAGTTCACAGCGAAAAAGCAAAGAGAACAAGATGTGTTGACAAAACATTGGGTTGAACTAGGCAAAGTATTGGATTCATTGTAGTGTAGTTTGGTCTAAATGCCTTGTAACCCAGCTGAGTGACCCTAACTCAATTCTGAATTCTACAATGGAATAAGAACAAGTTCTGTCCACTTTCTTTGTTTGGTTATCTGTCTGGAAGCCCATCTAAGCGGCCTATGAATCTTTAGCTATGTTGTCCATCTTGACATCTAGCTCAAGCAGGTTGTGGCATATTTAACCCATTTGTCCATCTGGAAATTCAATCTTAGAGGCCAGTCGTCCTTTAAGTGTTACCACTACGTTTTGAATTTTAACTCTAGGGGAGAGGGTGTCTGTCGAAAAATTATAGAGAGAATTGTGGGTTATTAAGTCCTTGAATTAGCTAAAAGGTTAGATTCAATGTTCTCATACAGTTTGGTCCAAATGCTTTAGGGGTCTTGACTAACCTTGACTCATTCTAAAATTTTAGTGGAATGAGTTAAATTGACTTTTACTTTGAATTTGTGAGATAATGCAGGAATGCCATCAAATCTTTCCTACAGGGCTTCCTTCCCGGTCTAGCTCTTAAAGTCTTCTTGCTTGTTCTTCCAAAACTTCTTATGATGATGTCAAAAGTTGAGGGGCACGTGGCAGTATCTGTGCTTGAAAGGAGGACTGCAGCAAAGTATTATTATTTTATGTTGGTCAATGTATTTCTTGGGAGTATTGTGGCAGGAACGGCTTTCCAGCAACTCCATGCTTTTCTTCACCAATCTGCCACACAGTAATGCATTAAAATTGTTATCAACTATTGCAGACTGCTTATAACTCCACTCTATTTGAACTCTTCTATATATCCTGTGTTAATCCTTTAATGTTATTTGAGAATGCAGAATACCAAGAAACATTGGAGTATCAATACCCATGAAAGCTACCTTCTTTATAACGTATATAATGGTTGATGGGTGGGCTGGGATTGCCAGCGAAATTCTCAGGTTGAAACCTTTGGTCATTTTTCATCTCAAGAACATATTCATAGTGAAGACTGAAAGGGATAGAGAAAAGGCAATGAACCCCGGGAGTGTAAATTTGCACGAAACTCTCCCAACTCTTCAACTGTACTTTCTTCTGGGCAGTGTATATGCTGCAGTTACCCCAATTCTTCTTCCTTTCATACTAGTCTTCTTTTCCTTTGCATACCTTGTATACCGTCACCAGGTCGGCACTTACCTTTCCGTGATTCAATTAGCCTTTTTTTGGAATAAGTGTTGAGCAACTCACATTTTCTGTAATGAATTTGTGATTATTGTTTAGGTTATCAATGTGTACAATCAGCAATATGAGAGTGCTGGTGCATTTTGGCCATTTGTTCATGGTCGCATAATCGCAAGCTTAGTGATATCTCAACTTCTTTTGATGGGCTTACTTAGTACAAAAAAAGCTGCCAAGTCAACTCCCTTGCTTTTTCTGTTGCCCATTCTGACATTAGCGTTTCACAAGTATTGTAAGAACCGATTTGAACCCGCCTTCAGAAAATATCCTCTTGAGGTAATATATTTTATTAACTCGAGAATGAGCATTTTCAATATATGGAGTTAACTTTATGTTGTTAAGAAGTGAATTTCATATGGCTAAGTGTATGGAGTTGTTGAATTTGTGGTTGGGTAGTTAACTTCATGTTGTTAAGACTTGAAGTTCTATCATAAAAAGTCAACATAATAGAATTCAAAATCGTATATGTTTGTGTGTTATTGAGACAATATGGAACAAACTCTTCAAATATACATGTACACACTAACACACAAAAATGTATATGTATAAATATAATGTATTGGTATGTGTGAAATTGTTCTTCTCTGTCATTTACAGGAAGCAATTGATAGGGATGCGCAAGACCATGTGTCTGAATCAGATACCGAATTTAAAGCACAGTTGGCTGATGCATATCTGCACCCAATTTTCCATTCATTCACAGAAGTTGATTTGGCCGAGGTTAATAGCGTGAACGAAAAAAATAGCCGGAGTCCATTTGATGAGTACCTACATCCCCCCTCTCAAGCTCATCATTGCAAAGGTGGTCCATTGTCGCTTTAAGAAGCATCACATAATGTCCAATGCCTTGAAGCTCGGACACCTAGTGATGACGTTGTATATAATGAGCAATCTCAAAACGTCTATCATTGCAATATGGAACCAAACCAATATGGTATACCAGTAATTATCTCGATATAGTTGAGGTTCTTTGCGGTGAGGGTGTGGTGTGGTGTGGGGGGTCATATGCATCTCAACATCCGTGGTGTTATAAGAAGTCAATGTAAGTAGGGAAGTTGAAAAGTTTGGTTAAGAAGTGATGGGTGTCCCATTATTGGATTAACAGATCGGTTCACAAATTTAGTTAGAAGAATTTAAAACATCGTCGGTCTGTTGGTCATGTTCGATAATAGAGCAATTAGTTATAGTTTTTATGTTTCCTACCTTTGTTCTAAATTTGTTAGGTGTTAGGTGTTAACTGGGTGCTCAGGTACTGTCAAGCCTACCTAATATGGTTACCTTGGACCCAATCCGGTTCTAGTTTAGTTCCAGACTGGCCGGTTCGATCTGCATGCATAAATGTAGTCGATACCCGTGACTATACATGACTTTACCTAGTTTTGGACTGATTTTGAGACTTTAGCCTATTTAGGATGTTTTTACTTAAACTGTAATTTGCTTGTCTGGTCTGATCTGGTCTGGTCTGGTTTCTTTGTATTTTTATAACTATCCAAGTCTGCTCTGGTCTGGGAGGAATTACAGTCCAAGTAAAAACATCCTTACAAGGGGAAAAGGGAACTGGTCCAGTTTAGTCGTAGTTAAAGGAGCTAGAACCAAGTTGGACTGGTTCTAGGCATCAGTTTCTTTTCAAAACTGAAAAGCGGGTAATGGACCGGACCGGACCTTTACCTTCCAGGTCCTGGAAATGAACTGGAGCTGGGCCTTCTTCGACAAGCGTAAAAGGGAAATGAAACCCCACATGAATTTATGGCATGATAGATTGCACAGCATGGCTAGTTCGTTGGGGATGATTCGGATGAATAGATGATATACAACTCATTTATATTGATATTTGGTAGTATCAATATTTGACACGATCCAATATTTGATTTATATTAAATCATGATGATTATCCCTACAAAAAACAGTGTTTTTGTTACGGAAGTTTGTCACAGATTTTGTCGTGGATATATCATCTAGCACATGAAAAACCTTTGTCACAGAATATTTACACCGTGATCCATGACAAAATCTGTGACAATCGTGTTATTTTTGGGTAGTGTCTATCCTATTATCCTACAAGTATTATTGTATGACGCTTCCCAGATTTGAATTTGGGCAACAATTGTCTAATGCATAACATCTTGTGAATTGAAAGTTCTATATGTAATCTTTTCTCATATACCCAAACGGGGATGGATTGGGTTGGGACTTAGGTCTAAGATACCAGCGGATTCATTCCGGTCAATGCCAAAAAAATCGGTCAACATGTATTTATATATACTACCCCCGTTTAAAAAAATTTGTCATCTCAAAAAATTTGAACTATGATTTTGATTATATTATTTATTACCGGAGTATAAATTTTATACTTTTATGAAAGTGCTTTTAACAAAGAACATTTTTATATAATTTTTATAATGTAAATAATTCCCAATAGAAAGATAAAGTTGATCAAAATTTTGAAAATGACAGTTTTTTGGGGCGGAGGTAGTAGTAAATACTTGCTCTGTTCTGAATTGTAGGATATTTTATGGTTTACAATGTTTGATCGATGATAAAGCAAACAGATCCTAGTCCACACTCAAAATATTTTTAGAAAAAAACTACATATTCAAAAACTACATTATAAACTTTACAAAGTTGCAAAAATCAGAATCAAATTTGATAAAAATTTGATATATAAAGTAAAAGATTAAGAGTGATTTGTGTTGACCAAGTGAATAGGAAACATATCTTACAAAATGGGACCGAGGGAGTATTGAACATATACTATGCATGTCTCCTAAGATAGGGATAAGAATTGATTGTAACCATCACTTAAATGTTATCAAATATGGAGCCCGTTTGGTAGCACGAAAATCGGCTGTTTTGGCTGATTCTGCTGAAATTTATGAAGTTCTGGCTGAAGTGGCTGCATTGGCTGATTCTGCTGATACAAGAAAAAAAAAATTTTAAAATATATTATATTAATAAAATAAAGAAAAAATTATATGTAAAAATAGCTAAAATGATCATCTACAGTAACTTCAGCCAATACAGCCAGAAAAGTAACTCCAACCTTACTTTTTCGGCTTAATACACAATTCAGCGCGCAAAAGCAAAATTTACGTGTTTGGTAAAAAAGTTGGCTTATAAGCCTGATAAGCCGAAAATGAGGGTTGCCAAACGGCCTCATGGTATGAGACAAATTTAGTGAGACAGACTTGAAAGATAAAATGGGACAAATATAGGGGTGGAGCCGTGGAGGGGGTATTAGATATATAAATTAAATTAAAAAGTGCTTATTATTCATAATAATCAATTAATGACAATACTTGGTCAACAGGGATGGATTTAGGGGGGGGGGGGGGGGGGGTCCGGGGTCGCCCTCTTTGAACTTTCAAATTTTTCTACTACATATGTAATATTTTCATAAAATTTTTGTACTTTAATTAGATATATATGTGTCCGTCCCCTTAACTTTTAGTTTTCAATATTAATATAGAGCCAAACATTATGTAAATACTTAATTGGAGAGTTAAAGATGAAACATCTAAAATAATTTACATAACTTACACAAATAAACAATAGAACAACTCATTGTTTAAGACTTAGGATACCTATTATATAAAAAATCATAGTTTTGAAATGTTTAATTATCTTTAAATAATTAGAAAATTAGTAGTCGATTTGTAAAATATCAAACAATATTAAATACGAGACACGCCAGTTAAACAGTTTTAGATCATGTGAAGTGAATTTAAAATTACACAATTCATTTACTTCTTACTTTTAAAAGTAACATATTGCATAGATAATAAAGTTCAACTTATTTTAGGCATTAATACAAATTTAATATGCACCATATATAAGAATGGAAAAAGGGGCACATAAGCCTTCGATCTGACCGAAAAAATGCAAATCACCCCTTTTATAGAAGGTTCTGTTCGGCCATCGCCATTTGGGGCGGTTACTGGTGGAATTTTTTGATGAATTTTTTTGAACATCTTCTTCATTAAGTCTAATTTACTCATACCATATTTTAGTTAAAACTGCAATCAGGAAGGCAGTCAAATAAATGTTTGAAGATAACTGTGCAGTTAAACAGCTCAGTATATTTCAGAAAATCATTTGACTGCCTTCCCGGTTGAATTTTTAGCTGAAATTTGGTATGGGTAAACTGGACTTGATGAAGAAGATGTTCAAACCAAATCATCAAAAAAATCTATCGGGAACCTCCCCAAATGGCAACTGCCGGTTGAACATAACCTCCTATAAAAGGGGTGATTTGCACTTTTTTGGATAGTTCGAGGGCTTATTTGCACCTTTTCCCTATAAGATCGAATTAGCAATATAATATTGTTCTAAAAATAATAATCTCAAACATAGTATTGTAATATTAGAAAAACTCCTCATAAGTCACGAACATCTTTCTTGGTAAACAAAATTTGCAATTCAAAAATCAATTCCTTGTACCGATAAGATTCATGTGATTAAACATGGCAAAAGTTATTTAAAAAGCATTGGTGGTTGTGCACCTTTTAAACTCTTTACTTTCAAATAATTTGATAAAATGTTATATATCCTCTTTTATTTTCAAATAATTTTTCTTTGATTTGCTATTGCTTACACTTTAATGTATCAATACTTTTTTCTAAAGCAGTTACAATTATAAAATCAAAGTTATTGTTGAGTTTATTCGCCGCAGCCCGGAAGTTCAACACCCCTTCTGGGAGAATTTCATGATATTACAATGTAAAACAAGCTATTTTTACGTGGAAACTCGGAAAGGGAGAAAACCACAAGACTATTTAGGCTAATGTCCAAGCCCTCTCCTTTTATTAATGCTCTCCTCACCATTACAATGTACAAGCTTCCATTAATGGAGTATTGAAACTAGCTCTAAAAAGGGGGGGGGGGGGGGGGGGGGGGGGGGAGAAGAAGCTAAAAAGGATCCTTGATAAGGAGGGAACTCCTCCTATATATAGATAAAGGGGGAACGGGGGCTCTCCACCCTAACGGGCCGAATGGGCAGAAATGGGCCCAAAGGCCGAAACAGGCGTGATAGGCTAAAATGGGCCTTACTGATTGGGCTTCGTACTACGTAAAGTCTTGGTCTCTTGAACAGTAATAGGCCGGGATAATATATCCCAACACAAGTCCCCCTGTTTCTTGAGTAGTGAGCGTGTGAATCTGCTCGAGAAAGTATATTCTTGCTCGCGCTCTTCCTTTGCCTTCCTTGGACCTGAGTCTTCGAGCAATCCTACTGCATGGGTGTGTGTCTGCCCCTCTGAATATAATCTGTCAGTAAGGCGCTCCCCCTCCCGATTGGATCGGGCAAGGGGCGCTCTTTCGCGGACCCTCTCCCCTGAATTTATCAGGCGGGAGTAAAGGACTCTAGCTCGGCTTTCCAACCGAGAAGCTTAGAGACCCCGTGACGGGTCCCATCCTAGAAAGGAGTAGTGATCCCAAACATGAACATGACACGATGGCGCTGAGGGGGCGATCGTGCTGCATAAGACGGTGGTCTCCATCCTTGAAGGAATGTACGAGCCGACCATGAACTGGACACGATGGCGCTGAGGGGCCGATCGTGCTGCATAAGACGGTGGTCGCCATCCTGGAAGGAATGTACGAGCCGACCGTGAACTGGACACGATGGCGCTGAGGAGCCGATCGTGCTGCATAAGACGGTGGTCACCATCCTGGAAGGAATGTACGAGCCGACCGTGAACTAGACACAATGGCGCTGAGGGGTCGATTGTGCTGCATAAGACGGTGGTCTCCATCCTAGAAGGAATGTATGAGCCGACCGTGAACTGGACACGATGGCGCTGAGGGGCCGATCATGTTGTATAAGACGGTGGTCCTCATCTGCTCGTTGTACCCGCCCTTTACCCCGGTCCCTTGGACCCTGAGCTTTGAGTTAGATCTTCGGATTTGGTGAGGAACGGCTCTTTCCCCTTTGGGGATTCCTTGATTGTTATTCCGCCATCCATTCGTCGTACCTGCCTTTCAGCTCGACCCTTGGGGTTATGAGCTTGGGTACAGCCTCACCTCTTTGGTGAGGAACTCATTTTTCCCCTTTGGGGATTTCTCTTCTTTCTTGTGTGATCCTTCTTGGGATTCATTTGTTTGATCCTTCTTTGGATTCTCTTGGGGGTTTCTCTCTTCTTCCTTGTTTGATTCGTCTTTGGATTCTTTTGTTTGATCCTTCTTGGGATTCTTTTGTTTGATCCTTCTTGGGATTCTTTTGTTTGATCCTTCTTTGGATTCTTTTATTTATTCATTTCATCATCCGCTCGTCGTACCCGCTCGTTTAGCTCGGTCCTTGGATTCTGAGCTGAGCGTAGCCAACGTAGTCGGTGAGGAACGACCTTCTCCTCTTGGGGGTTTCTCTCTTCTTCCTTGTTTGATCCTTCTTTGGATTCTTTTGTTTGATCCTTCTTGGGATTCTTTTGTTTGATCCTTCTTGGGATTCTTTTTTTTATCCTTCTTGGGATTCTTTTGTTTGATCCTTCTTTGGATTCTTTTATTTCTTCGTTTCATCATCCGCTCGTCGTACCCGCTCGTTCAGCTCGATCCTTGGATTCTGAGCCGAGCGTAGCCAACGTAGTCGGTGAGGAACAACCTTCTCCTCTTGGGGGTTTCTCTTCTTTCTTGTGTGATCCTTCTTGGGATTCTTTTGTTTGATCCTTCTTTGGATTCTTTTATTTCTTCGTTTCATCATCCGCTCGTCGTATCTGCTCGTTTAGCTCGGTCCTTGGATTCTGAGCCGAGCGTAGCCAACGTAGTCGGTGAGGAACGGCCTTCTCCTCTTGGGGGGTTCTCTCTTCTTCCTTGTTTGATCCTTCTTTAGATTCTTTTGTTTGATCCTTCTTGGGATTCTTTTATTTCTTCGTTTCATCATCCGCTCGTCGTACCCGCTCGTTTAGCTCGGTCCTTGGATTCTGAGCCGAGCGTAGCGAACGTAATCGGTGAGGAACGACCTTCTCCTCTTGGGGTTTTTTCCCTTCTTCCTTGTTTGATCCTTCTTGGGATTCTTTTGTTTGATCCTTCTTTGGATTCTTTTGTTTGATCCTTCTTGGGATTCTTTTATTTCTTCATCTTCTGGGGTGGGGATGCTCGTCTCCAGGCCCTTAGCCTCTGGGTGGGGATGCTCATCTCCATGCCCTTGGCCTCTGGGGTGGGGATGCCCGTCTCCAGGCCCTTGGTCTCTCAGATGGGGATGCTCGCCTCCAGGCCCTTGGCCTCTGGGATCTTCTTGGGACCTTCGGCCTGTGGATCAACCTCTGGGGTGAAGATGTTCGTCCCCAGGCCCTTGGCCTCTGAAAGTCTTCTCTAGACCCTCGGCCTTTGCGTCGAAGATGCTCGCCTCTAAGCCCTTGGCTTCTGATGGTCGCCTTGAGACCCTCGTCCTTTAGTGGAGGATGCTCGTCCCAAGCCCTTAGCTTGGTGGTCTTCTTTAGACCCTCGGCCTCTGGGGTGGGGATGCTCGTCCCCAAGCCCTCAACCTGATGGTCTTATTTAGATCCTCGGTCTTTGAGGTGGAGATGTTCGTCTACGAGCCCTCGGCCTGCTGGTGGAAGATGTTCGTCTTCGGGCCCTCGGCCTCCGGGTGGAGAAGTTCATCTCTAGGTTCTTGGCATCAAGGTTCATTTTGAGCATCATCTGTTATCGGTCGTTCTGATTATTATCTTTATCTGCACAATGAACATAGTAACGCAGCCAAATGGCCAGACAATATGTATATGCGTACACCATTTTTTTTTTGTATGTCGGTCAGGAGCTCTTCCGAGTGTGACCATCGGCCTCAGTGTACAATGACCCTCGACTCGGCCCGTCATCTAATTCCTTAAATTAAAATGACGGTGAAATATCATCACTTGAGCTTGGCTGGACATTATTTAACTTCGGGATATTTTAATCTCTAATAAATAATGGTGATGTATCCAAAACAATAGTAATAATACTATTTTAAAAACTTAGTGAATAAGTGAGAGGTTGGATACTTAGCTCCTGAATGGACTGCGCTTAGTAGTTTGGTGAAAGAGGCCCACCAGAGACCCCTAGAACTGGAAAGACCTGACCCGAGGAACAGGGCCCTCCGCGCCAGACGATCTGCGGCCAATCCACAAGGGGATGAGCGGCGAGCAATAAGCTAACGCCAATGCACATGGGGACGAGCGGTTTCTGAGCCGGGCAGTCAACGTCATAGAGAGCCATGCGGATGTAAGATCCTGGGACGAGCGGCGAGCAGTAACCGACAAGGATTTGGTCAACAGTGTGATCTGGCTCGTCCTGTGAGTTTGGCTATGGTCCCTATGTTATTATCCCGTGTCCGGATGCTAACGCCGACCGGCGCCAATACCAGATGACTTGTATCGGGCGGCTTCCATCCTCCCTGCGAATAGGCTGAGGTCGGGTAACCTAAGCGTGTCGTTGAATGACCATGCGGTGAACGTGGTCTTCAATAATTTCTGGTGGCAGTGGGCCACCCTTCATTACCATGGATTTGAATACCCGTTCACACCATCACTACTCCTTGCTGAGCATAGTCATGCTTTGAGGAGTGTCGCGCGACTGAATCATGGGGTGCTGGGCGGCGGTGATTGGAGTGAATCGAGGTTGATCTAGGGACCGAGCAGGTGTGCGTGACGGACGGCCTAAGAAAGTCGGGCGGCCTAAAAAGCCGGGCGTCCTGCGTAAGCCGGTCGGCCAGCCTAAAAGATGTCTGAATCTGTCTAGAGGCTGCGCGGCATCCAGAAAGCGGGCGGCCAATATTGAGGGCATCTTAACCTGCTGGAAGGGGCGTGGTTCCAGGACCTTTGTAAGCAATACTTGTAATCCTCCCAAGTTGTAAGCCCCACCGTGTTGTGCTTAGGTTTTCGCATGCCGCAGGACCTTTGACGGAGGTACGCCGAACGGCCATCGAAAAGAAGTTCGGTTTGTAATTGAGATCGCGTTGGGCGTAGCAAGCTTGATAGAGTACGACTGTCATCATGTTGTTATAGAAATCCTGGTCCCTACCTTGTTCAGATTTATGAGGTAGAAGGGCGTGTGAGGATATGGCGGCCATATTCCAGATAGCCTCCCGTTCACCTTGGTCGGTCAGCTTGTGACTCAATGTTCGTCCTGGAAGTTGGACGCTCGGGACGATTATTAAACTCAGAGAATCCTAGGCCATTCCTCCTGTCCGGTGCTTCAATGCAATCCATTATGGATCTCCCTGTCACATCACTGTGAGATCAAGCAGGTATTTGACTGCTTAGGAAGGATTCACGGAAGACATTTGCTTGACAACTCTTGTTCTGACCTTGGGTCCCATTATTGTTCATTTGTGTACTCCGGCGGCCAGTGTTGACATCGGATTTTATTCTGCTTTGAGCCCTTCTGCAGATGACTCCACTGGATGGTTTCATGGCCGGATCCAGGCCACAGCCGGCGCCACCTGCTTTTCTCCTTTATTTTATTTCGTTGACACCCGTTTGAGCTGACATTTGCCAGCTCCTTTTCTTCCATTTTTTCTTTAGCGAAGGGTGAGCTCGAGGGAGCTAAAACTCAGAACACATGAAATCTTTTAGAACTTTTCCCACAGAAAGCTACATTGTTGAGTTTATTCGCCGCAGCCCGGAAGTTCAATACCCCTTCCGGGAGGGTTTCATGGCTATGGGGTGATAATACAATGTAAAACAAGCTATTTTTACGTGGAAACCCAGAAAGAGAGAAAACCACGAGACTGTTTAGGCTAATGTCCAAGTCCTCTCCTTTTATTAATGCTCTCCTCACCATTACAATGTACAAGCTTCCATTAATGGAGTATTGAAGCTAGCTCTAAAGGGGGGAAGAAGAAGCTAAAAAGGATCCTTGATAAGGAGGGAACTCCTCCTATTTATAGATAAAGGGGGAAGGGGGGCTCTCCACCCTAACGGGCCGAATGGGCAGAAATGGGCCCAAAGGCCGAAAGAGGCCTGATAGGCTAAAATGGGTCTTACTGATTGGGCTCCGTACTACGTAAAGTCTTGAGTTCTTGAACAGTAATAGGGCAGAATAATATATCCCAACAGTTATTTTTCCATTGTCTAAGTTTAGAATGTAATATATTTAAATGCATCATGTGTGTACGTGTGAATTCTTTTTGAATAAAAATTAGCCGCAAAGCCCTACACTCTTGCAAAAAATCGCCATGCTACACTAGCAAAAAAAGTTTCACTTTACTACACTAGCGGAAAAAAATTCACTCACTACACTAACGAAAAAATTTCGCCCCCTTTGACTCGAAGACCTGGATCCGTCCCTGTAATGGTCAGCATTGAAACTTGAAAGCACTTGTAATATTTCAAAATATAGTTTTGTACGTTAGAATATTGTATTGTACGTTGTAATATAATTTGACATAAATTTCATTCTTAAGTAAATATAAAAATATATGAAGGATATTGAAGTTGTAATTTTATTGATTTAAAAATGCTTAAAATAAGAACATTGAAAAGAACCTTTGAAACCCGAGTTTTTCAGGGTTTTTTTATTCTTGGCCATTTCCGGATCACCGGTTTTCTTAAACAATCGACCGGTTGGGTTGTTTTTCTAAACATAGCTATTTGTACCTGTTGACCCGGGGTAATGCTGTTCAGCAGATCCAAATCTATTTTTTAGCATAGTAACCTCTCATCGCAGTTAAATTTGGACTCGGGCCGGATGACCCGACCTGGAACAGGCCCGGCCTGAACCGGTGGCCCGGTCAGTGACCGGTCCGGGTAGGCCCGACCCGATGTGTTTCCGGTCTGGGCTCGGGTCACCCAAAACAAGGCCCGGGCCCGGTTCGGGCCAAATTGATTTTTTTTATTATTTTTTTCATTTGATTGGGCTCCACCCGGGTGGGGCTTGATGTTTAGGAGGGGTTTGGGGGTGGGGTGAGGGGGGACAGGGATGGGTAGGTAAGCAAAAAATAATAATAATAACCAAACCCGAGGCCCGGCCCGGCCCGGACCCGATGGCTACCCTGGCCGGACCCGGGTCCAGCTATTCAGAACCGCCGGCCCGGGCCCGACCCGAGTCCAAGTCTAATTGCAGTTGAGCTGCGCGGCTACGCCCACCCGTGAGGATCCAAATTCTTAAATGCACCCATTTGTAAAGCTTTACACGACTTTGAACATAAAACAACATTATGGTGCAAAATGTAAACGCGCAAAAGTTCAAATTAAGTAACTCGGTCAACATTTTGAAGTTCAACAGCCATGTTCCGAATTTCAAGTTCAGCAAAATTTTAGAACTCACAACATTTTTCCTTTAACTACTCCAGCCCTATCATCATCGTTTCATATAGAGTTTTTAGTTTTGATGTCGGTTACCCTTGAAACAGACACAGTAAAGTTACTAAAAAGGTGCATAACTTGGACATAACTTTTAATCAAATAAAAACTTGAACATAATTTGAAAAGTAGAATTGCATTTTGAATCTAAAGTAGCTCTTTAAGTTAATTTAAAATGGTTATAACAAATTTATCACCCTCATGGCTAATTACTTAAAGCGCCTCCATTCTGATCAAGTAGTTAAACAAGTAAAGTTTAATATCTGCATGGAAATAAAAAACCACTACACATGACACATCAATACCATCTATGATTTAATGATCTTAACCAGTAAGTATATACTCATCTATCTACCTGCTTAGTAAAGAAACAAAACCATTAACCAGTTGTAAGTAATATCCACAAAAAAGAGCTACTTTCTTTTGAATAAGCTTGTCTAGTTCAATCCCATCTCTAAAGCACACAATGTCATTCTCATCTCAGTTGCATTGTTGGGCTGGTCTTTCCTTACTAGCAGGCAACAGCTGCTAGTAACTCGCTGAAAATGTGTTTCACTGGAACACAACCAACAGATTTCAGTAGAGCTTCTCCTTTCATGGCTTTCTGCACTGTGGGGCGCAGGTTATCACCACTAAAGGCGTTTCTTGACCAGTTTGATGAACTTGTTTGCCTTTTACATGATTTTAGAGGAAAGGATTCTTCTGTTCTTGAAGATGCGCCTTTCCTACGCGAGGAGGGCAGTGGAGATGAATATATAACAGGAGTCCTTTTAGAAGTTTTCCAAACCAGGGGACATGTTCCACTTAACTTCTTTTTAGACGATTTCTCGCCATTTCTAATTTCTGTTTCAGCAGCGCCTTCCAGAACTTCTATATTCACAGGGTGCCCTATGATCGCCTTTCCATTTAATCTGCTCATCATGCTGACAAGGGGAACATTCACTCCCTGGTGGGTGGCTTCAACTTTGATGTTCACATCAAATAGAGGAATAGCAGCATCTCCTTTGCAGTAAAAAACACAACTCCTATCATCTGGACCCACATCTCCCATGCAAACCTCTTGGATATTCAGTTTTCTTTCAGGTTTGAGTTTTTCAGATCTGCCAGAAGAGGCAGTCTTGTCAACGGCAGAGAACTCAGAGGACTTTTTTGAGTCCTTTAAGGAGCGAGACTGAACTGATTTCTTCAAACAATCTCCTGATTCGGAAGAAAAATAGGCATACTTGCTTCTCTTTACCCTTGAACAAGTTTCTTGTTGCAGCTCACTCCCTGCTCATCAGAGGGCAAAGAAATAGATAACATTTAAAACTAACCATTAGCACTGGTAAGCATTTTTCAACTTCATAAAATCTATATCAAAATCACAAGCATGTTATAATCATGAACTTAACTATTGGAACTTATGGATTCGTGCAAAAAATAGGCATGCTTGCCCTAAGTAATTGTTCATTTGGACTGAAATCTACTCGTACGGTTTGATCTAATCTGAACTAATGTGAACTGATGTGGTATAATACTAGTCTATATTTGAACTTTGTCTAGTATGGTAAGGTCAGGTTTGGGACTTAAACAAGTCGAGGTGAACAATGTCCTAAATGATACTTAGCTCTCATACAACAATTGCATCTCAATTTAAATATTGATGTAAACAATGGAAATTTTTGAAAATGTAAATAGCACTATTTGTGATTCAATGAACCATACATTATACTACCTGGCCTTTTAAGTTTCTTTTGCACCAATTGCCTCTCAAGATCAAGAGCATGAAGAATAGCATTTTTTCGGCGTGTGCACTTCAGATCTTTGGTTAAACCAAAATCTCTTGACGATTCAATCTTTCTAATACAATCGTCAAACTCTCCACAGCGGAAGGCTTTCACACGCTTAGTAGTCTCCAGGTTGTAGTTGTCCCTGAAACATTGCCCGTTCACAAACACATCATGGTTTCAATGAATATTACAGTACGAGGTATTATGCCATTTAAGAAGATGTCAAGATGCCAACATTTTAAAAAAGAAAGTTGAAGAAAACTGGACAGGGATTCTTATCAACAACATTAGATTTCGACATATCAAAGCAACAAAACATAAAACTGTAGAACTTAACTAGAAAATCACAAAAAAATACATAGATTTATATCAACAAACATTAGATTCCGACAAACCAAAGAAACAAAACAACCTCAAAGGCCAATCCAAGCAAAAAAGTTCAGACCAAAAATTGGGGGGGAATGGCTTACAGAGTGGCGTTATTTTGGCCTAGGAGCTTGATTTGAGGTGGAACAGGGGTACCAAAAAAGTGGCGATCAGGAAGCGGCGTGAAGTCGGCGGGAGCCATAACTCTTCCCGGCCACCAAATTCCGTTCCTCCGGCGCACCCACACTATGCTTCCCACTTTCACTTCTTCTTTAACTGCTGCACCCATTAGATTTTCTGGGTTTTTATCAGATACAGAAAACCCCCAAAATATTCATTGGGTTTCTTCAGGGAGGGTTTATTTGTAGTGTTGCGGAGACGAGTGGGGGAGGGAAATGGCGCTGCTCTGTTTCTTGTTTTTTGAATGTACGAAATGAACTGTTTTTTGTCTTTCTTGTTTTGTCGTTATCGGTGTTTATTCTCGAATTCTGGTTTTGTAGCTCACCCCGTTCGTGTTCCGGATTTCAGAACAGCGTGTTCCCCAAGTTTGTAACTTATACTACCTCCATCCCTATTTATTTAGCCGACTTTGATATACTGAGTATTATTTTAACTAATACTCTTTTAGTCCCATTTTGACAACTTTTCTTTTTTGGATGTTCATTAACTTTACCACTTTCTCTTTTAAGTAAAGAAATTGTGGTTCCAATTAATTCTCTCTCCTCTACACAAACATCTACCACACAGTTTTTACTTTATTAATCCCCGTATCGGTCAAACTTGTCAAAGTTTTAAGGGACGGAGGTAGTAATAATTTGAGTTTGCACTCCAGTTGTCCAAATTAGACTTTGCACTCCGTTTTTAAAAATCTTTATTTTTGCATCCAACCCCATATGAAAAGATAAAAATGCCTTCGATTAGGAATATGTTGAAGGCCAACAGAATTGTTGATGGAATGACATTTTTGTCTTTTCACATGAGGTTGGGGCAAAACAAATATTTTTAAAAATGGGATGCAAAGTCAAATTTGGACAATAAAATGGGGTGCAAACTCAAATTACTCCAAAAATCAAATACCAAGATTAATTTTCGAAAACTACGAAATCAAAAATTAGCGAGAGTATTAGGGTTAAGGTCTTAGCTATAATGTATTTGACCAATAGGTCTAGCGATCAATTAAGTAATGACATATTTTAACATTTTAGTTGTTCGAATGCTACTCTTAACTTTTACTTGTATAATGTACTCGCTCTGTTCTTTATTAGTTGTTTCGCATTTCTTTTTGGGTCGTTTTTAATTATTTGTCTCTCTTTTCATTTTTGGTAAGTTTTTTCAATCAAAATACCTTTATATCCTCACTTTTATTACCATTACCCCTTTCTTTTTCCTACTTTTTCATTTACCCACAACTCACTACACCTTTTACATACACTACCCCTATTATTTTCATCTTAAAACTCGTGCCAAAACCTAAGAGAACTCATATTTAAGAATGGATGGAGTATTTGATTTGGCATTGTGCATCTTTAAGATTTGTTCACTTAAGCAGAAAAATGGAACAACATGTAGATGTACTGGTGTCTGTGTAGCTAGTATGGGTGAACTATGTTTTTGAATTTTATTTAGAAAAATCCTCAAATTAATTTAGAACATTTTTTGCAGATGTGTTTCATAAATAAGTAAATACAGTAAAAAAAAGGCATAGCAACTACATATTTTCATTTACAATGGAGCCAAAGATTGACTATCTTTTTTGGCTTGAGAGTCGATAAATTATTTGCGCTTCTTTATTATTAAGCAGCAGTAAGTCCATGCAGTCTTTTAACGCGATTTTCATTATGGATCATCGAAAAAAACAGTCTCTTTGATTTGCAGCACTGGGGTAATGATGATGATATTTGAAAAAAGGTATGCATGCTATATTTTATATCTTTGACCAAATTTAACAAATATTAATGGGCTAGGAACCTTAACTCGGACAGAAGTGAGAATTAGAGAGAAGTAGTGTTCAAATCATATTGAATGGTTTATGAATATAGATAAAGCGCTATTCAAGTCCAATCTTTTATTTTGTAAACTATATCGTACATCTAATTGTACCGTGTGCACGGTACAAGCGGGCTTTTAGTTGTCGTTAGGTGCTTCGATTGGCATTCGCACTTCGCTCGATGCCCGTCCTTCGCTTCGCCGTACACAGATGGATGACTTGCCACTCGAAACGATCTCTTCTGCTTCAGCTAGCACGCACGCAACACCTCATCCTCCGGCTTGCGCAGAGATGGCAGCTCTGCAGGTTGTATACTCTCGCGCTAATTACATTTCCCCCCTCTCTCTCCGCTCTTTTCCTTTTTATCTTTTTCTTACACAGATTTGGTGAGTTTGGTCGCTTGTTTGCGGCAGGTTAGGTGGAACCTAAGCTATATGTAGTTTTACTAATATGAGTATACACAAATGAAATTTTGATTTTTGATCATAGTAGAGATTTTAATGAGTTTTTGAATTCTTCGATCGCTGCTCATTTCGTAATTTATGTATGCTCATTTGATATTAGTATAATATTCATTTTAAAATGTCATATTCATGCATATTTCAAAAGTATAATATTACATTAAATTTACATATCGGGTCGATACGGGTTATGGTAGATATTTTAATGGAAACCACAACTTTCACTTATATTACCAAGATGTCACTGATCACAGCACAAGTCGGTTGTATAGTAGGTCATACGAACTCATATTATTTATACATACCACTTTGAATCTACAAAGTTTATGTAATTAGATCTTTCCCTATTAAAAAAATATGTTAGATTAATATGTTCTTAAGATGGTTATTATGAGGAAGACGGAATCATCATTTTAGATGTTTTCTCAATCGTGAGAATTTTTACCACTCACAAACACTCTTTTGAAATACATCAAGAAAAAAATGGAGTAGTTGTGTGCAATGGTTAGAATGTACAGGGGCGGCTTTGAGGGCAGTTGGGCCAGGCAACTGCCTTGGGCCTCAACTACCAAGGGGGTCTCCAAAAAATTCTACTCCGATATTAGTATTAGGTGTTATTCGCAGACCGCCAATACACCAAGCGGCAACTGCAAGCAGAAATCAGCTTTATAGTTCACTTTTGACTATTCATCCTTCATCAAAGTTGTAGCTAATGAAGTCTTCTATCTAACACAACTTGCAAAACTAGATTTGAATCATCCAATAAAAATATATGAATAAAATGGTGGAAGGTCGCATTCTGAAATATCAACAGAAGTTGTCTGCCTTCATCGTCTGTTTTCACCTTGCTTCTCTCAGATTCTCACAATGGTGTCTTCATATTATTTGTAGCCCTTGAAGTTGGCTTTCATATGAAATTTGAATCATGTTTTTTTGATGTTCCTAAGAAAAGATATGCTTGAACGATTGACAGAACGTCATCCTGACCGTTGTTTTCAAGCTCTATTCGTCTTCTTTTGATCCCGTAGCCAATTCTAGAGCTGTTTTGTCTTCAAAACTTTGTCTTTAACACCTCACTGATCTCCAATGCTCCTAATCAACTCTAAAATGCTTCTCAAGTCGTCCCTATTGCTTCTCAAACACCGGTGTCAGGCTCCAATTCCCTGATTTTGACTCCAAAAATACCAAAACTCGAACCAACGGCCGGTAAATATGACTTGAGCTTAAAATTGAGACTTATGACACCTTAAAGTTAGGAAAAAACTATCAAAAGCCGATCTCAACACGCATCAACATCCAACACAGACCGCTAATCGGCTACTGTATATATGCCTCACTGCCCGCCGTCGACATGGGTCCTTGGTCAGTGAATCAACTAAGACTCTTCAGCTTTTCTCTCCGAGTCTCGTTCTTGAAGTCTCTTGATACTTTTACAAGTACAAGTTTGCCTTGTGTTTTGAATAAGTTTGCATTTTAAAATTTATCCTTTTGAATATTACAAACATTATATCGTGGACTTTGAATATGCTTTTTTCATAAGGCGATTTTTATTCAATTTATCTGATTTTAAAAGTGATTTGTACATAGTAAATATTTTTCGTCTGGGGCCTCCAAAATGCTTAAGCCGCCTCTGAGAATGTATAGTGCATTTTACATCTTTAACCAAAATTAGAAAAATTAATTTAAATATATGTAGCGTTACTATTGTACAGATGTATACACTCGAGTCATTTAGTAATTCTTTACTTGGTGTATTAATATCAGACGGACTTTTTTACTAATTTATTATCTTTTTTTGAAAGGCTAAATGTACTATCTTTGATTAAATTATACAATAGTACAAAAAAGGTAGGAAATACTATTCTGACTGAATCTGTTGAGCATTATTCCAACTAATTTTCATATATTTTTTATTCTATTAATGAAATATATTTTAAATGGAACATTCTAATAAAAAAATTCAATCACTTCAAGCATATTTCAACAATTTTAAACAAATTCAGGCTATTCACCCAACTCCCAAACAGGCTCTCCATGTTTTATGTGATTATGATTAGACATGGAACCGGGTCAACCCGGGTCACTCCTGGCCCGGTCAGTCCCGGTTCTAAATAAGTGAAGTCCGGTATCGATCATGTTTGGTCAGAACTGATTTCGGTCCTAGACCAAACAGTACAGCAAATTATACCGTGGGATCGGCCCACCGTGTGCACGGTGTGCCGATCCCAAACGGTGCCATTTTATTAATAAAAAACAGTAATATTCTCCGATCGTAAAGCTATCGTGCCCTAGCAAATTCGATTTGGAGCCGGAAGAAGCATCTGGATTTTGTGGATCCTGATTCTTGATGAGCCGTCGTCTCCTACCAAACCATCTGCAAACAGAACTCCATCTCAGACTTCTCAGTTGCTCTTATTCTCTTCTGCACGGAGAAAAACCAATATTAAACCTGCCATGACAATAGCCTTCAAGCAACAACCACCTTTACCCACGAGAGTGGCATCTATCTTGTTGTGGCTGCCAATAACTCCACCTGTGGGCTGCGGGCATGTGGCCCCTGACACCAGATGAAGATTTGAACTTTAGCTTCCTAACGTTGAAAAGATGATCGGAGTTACATTAGAACTTCGTTCAAGAAGTTACATTTTACTCCGTACATACTAGTGAGTTACATTTTTACACAACGCAAGTTACATGTTTCATAACATGAGTTACATCACTATATAACCTCTTGCTATTGAAAAAAAAAAAAAACATAGTTCACATGTATTTTAGATGCGGAAGTGTAATTTTTTTGTAAAAAAAATTATGGCCTAGATATAAAAAATAAAACATATTCACCATTTGCATAAATAATTGAGCAATTTGACTCTTTTTTCATTGTTTAGGTGTTTTTATTTCTTATGCTTCGTATTGGACAAGTTACATTTCAATTGACCTGCGAATACATTTCTCATCAACGTGAATTACATTTCTATACACGTGAGTTACATCATTCGTGCTACCGGAACAAAAAGAAAAAAACAGTTACTGTTCACGCGTGTACTGTTCACGCAAATTTTTTAAAAAAAACTTGTGCAAAACTACGTCATTTTGGGGGTGGAGCATGATGCTCACCGTGGGATAATCCCACGGTATACGAACTGAAACAGTACCGGTCCCGAGTCGAACTCAAGTCGGTACCCACCTATTTAATACGGAGTAATTTTTTAAAAAACTTACCGTTTGGCCCGGACCGGGACCGGTCCCAAAAATTCAAGCCCAAAGCTCGACCCTTTTCTACCACAATCCAGGTACCGGGCCAGTACCGGTACCAAAAAACTAGTCCTTAGCCGGTACTAACAAGACTGGTCCCAGATCAAGCTGCCTGGACCCAATCGATCCCTAATTATGTTAGGAAGAAGTCAAGTACAACGTATATTTTATATACTACGGTCTACGTATTTGACAAAAATATACGGAGTATCATTTTACTTTGAGAGTTTGAGTCTCCCATATTATGTGTTCAGGCGTTCAGCTCTTGGTACTATTTAAAATTTTCAATTGATAATCAATTAGGATATCCATGAAGTGATGAAACTAATAAATAAACACATTTCAGTTATAAGGCAGTACTTTATTACCCCCCGTCCCCTTAACTTTGTCTCGTTTTACCTTTTTCGTTCGTCCCATTAAGTTTGTCTCACACCATATTTGGTAATATTTAAGTAATTAGAATTCATTCTTACTTTATTCACACTTTATCAATTCAATATCAACACACAATTCTATTTTTTCTTAAAAACCACACCACACCCCTTTGTCCCAAACTTAGGGGGACGGAGGTAGGCATGGACTCAATTCGGGCAGGGCCGGGCCTCAATCAAGTTCCAACCGGGCTTTTTTGGAGAAATGAGGCCCGGAAACCGGCCCGGGTAGCTCCAGGCCCGGGTTAGGCCGGTTCACCCAGCGGTTATCGGGTACCCTATTTTCTAAGACCCAAACAGGCGTGGGTTAGGGAAGTTCGAAGTGATATGCTTCTTCTGGGGTTGGATGAGGACATGACTTTGGAGAGAACTAAGTGGAGGGCGAGTATTCACGTGAAGGAGTGATCTTGATAATCTTTTTTCCCTCATCTTTTTTATTCCTAATTTTTTTTATCCTTATATATATATAAGCATTATTTGCAGCCTTTTTATTTTATCATTTATATATATATATTCATCTTTTTTTATATTATATTTTCATAATAGCTTATCTTTTTATCTTTATTCCTTCTTTTCCTTTTGGTTGTGATATCATGTATCGATTCATGTTAGCCGACCCCAATATCTTTTGGGACTAAGGCTTGGATGTTGTTGTTGTCTAATTACTTCCTATCCCCACCCCCCACACCCCTCCAAAATACTCAGCCCAACCTATTTACCTTTTAAAAATGTGAAAAACAAAAAAAAAATGGCATGAACCGGCTGAGCCAGTTCATGATTTGGGAGGCCCGGGAGCTGCCCCTCTACAATGTCGGGCCGGGTGGCCCAAACCGGGTACCGGGCCGGTCCGGGCCGTAACAGTACCGGTTCGGGCTGGTTAACCCGGCCTGAGTCCATCCCTAGACGGAGGTAGTATTAAATACTCCATAATAGATGCACAAGTCCCAAAATACAACTTTATCGTAATATTGAGAATAGTTTGAAGTGGCTCAAGTGTTGGGTCCTCGATCCTCATACAAACATAATACACAAACTACATTGCATTAGTTGTACTAGGAAGGATGGCTAGAGTGTTGCACAATTATTATAATTAAAAAATCATATCATAGATGTTAAAGGGACAGCAAGGCAGGATTTGTCATCCTACACCAATACAAACAAGAATAAAGCAAATTCTGAATCAACTAAGGTGAATCTGAGGGAGTAAGTTGGGGCATAAATAAATGTACAGAAATGTCCTAAATATGGTCCAAAGAAGGAAAAGAATTAGGCCTCAGTGTAACTTTACATCAACTTTTAGCGCTGTTGTTGCAGGAAAAAAAACCTTGTATAAACTACTGCTACTATATCACCTAGATGGAGTCTCACATGGCTGCTGACTATTCAACGCAGAACTTGAGGGAATGGAAGGTAGAGATCCATTATCTTGAGAGGTTGAACTGCCCCACTTCGGCTCAGCATCTGATGGCTCGATCACGTGTACTGTGCCATCGCTCATCCCGAGAGCAAATTGGTATGGATCTGACGGGTGTGCCGCAATCACTGCAGGAAAGGCACACCCGCTGCTGCTGTGATATTATTAAGGTCCATGTCAGAACTTGGATCAAAGTGGTATTTTACATTGATCTGTTTTTTTCTTGCCATTACGGCTGCAGAAAGTCTCATCTCATTATGTTAGGTAGGTCTGATGAAAATTGTCCCGAATCCGGTTCCCATAAAGGGTGAAATAGGAACATAAACTGGTATATACTCGGTTGGTCGAGTTCTGATTCTCAGGTTGGTTCCGGTCCAGTTACTTTCATTAGCATTCTTTTTCCTTTCTATAGGCGCTTCTCTGAGGTCACTCAAGTGGACCACAAGTTAATTAGGCCAAACTACACTAAAACAAATATGGAGTATAATCTATTAGCTAGTTCAAGCCAAGATCTCAAACAAATATTCTCTCTTTAATTTCTTAAGGCAATACACTCTAATGCCATGGTGCAAACATACCCTTACTTTCAATGGAAAGTAAATGAAAGAGGGAAGATGGTAAAGGGGAAATTAAATTCCGGTATGACCCCATATCAGAGAAAGTAACAATACCTGCCAATAGATGTAGACATGTAAGCAGATGATGCAATTCGACACCGAAGCCTGAACGTGTCTGCATCAAATATTCCAATTGCACCATCGGAGAATCCGGCTAGCACTAACATACCATCACATGAATATATCGCACTTGAAATTGCCGCAGAAAGTGACTCCCTCGGATACCACTGCAACATAAGCTATATAAGTGAAAGAACTAATGTGAAGTACTATTGCTATTATTATTACATTTTCTGGAAGTGGCAGAATTCCACCCAGACAGAAACTTACCGAACGCATACACTCAAGTTGAGTATCATAAATTGAAATTTGGCTTTCATGAACTACAAGGATGTGTGATTGATCATTATGGAATTGAACTCTTGTATCTCCAACTACTGAAGTGGGGTGTCCAGGTGGTGCCTGTATGAGCCTTGATTTTTTCTTTTCCCATCCATCGATGTGCCAGATACATAGCTGCATATAGAACAAGAAAAGCATGACATTATTTCCTAGACTACGAAAAACAACAAGTACAAAAGTTAACCAGGCACCAAGATAATTAACTACAAGAATATCCTCTTTTTTTGTTTTTTAGATTATATATCTGCAATTGAGATTGGTTCTCACTTGTGCATCTGCCCCAGAAGAAACCAGCACATTCAAGCTCTGAGAAAATGCAAGCCCTGTGATCCGTTTTTGATGACCCTTGAGCTTGGTTTTAACCTATGGGAGATGAAAGAGAGAACAAGATAATGATACCATAATCCAACTCTAGAGGCAAAAAATTAATCAAGTTCAACAACCACCTCTGGAATTAACAAGAAAATCTCCCAAAGAATAACAGCAATTAAAAAATCTAAAACTCACAGCATGATTTTGAAATATATTACTTTTTCGGTACATAGGGAAATAAACCACAGTGATGATTGGTGTATAAATGAAGAATGCCTCTTCAAAAAGCTTACCTCATCAACCCTGACATTGTATATTTGTATGGTGGAGTCTTCCATTCCCACAGCAATAATGTTATTGTCCTGAGGGTGAAATGCCAAATAGGTGGCAGCAGGAGGTGGTGGCATGAAAGTTGTCATGACCTGACAAGATAATATGCCTTGAACTTGGTTAAAAAGAGCATTTAAACATGTTTGGACCACCAAATAAACAAGCTAGCACAAACTGCAGCATTACAAATGCAAACGAACATGAAAGTAAAGGGCAGTAAGAGGCATACCTTGAAGGTCATCATGTTAAAGAGGGAAACTTTCCCACCAGAAGCAGACATGACATAAGAATCATTCTTAGATAAAGCAATGCATGAAGCAGGCTCTTCAGCTGATTTTACATCACTTAAATCATTTGACATGAGAGCTCCACTGCTTGGCTGCCATAATTGTGGTACAGCCGAAGCAGAAGACTAAAAGAAAAGAAGAAAAATAATAAGCCAAACAATCATAATGAATAAGAAACAGGGGTGAGCAGGAAAACAAAAATAGAAATCTAACCTTTCCGGACGGGTTACGCTCATTTCGCTGCCACTTCCAAAGCTTATGAACACCATTGGAACCTAGTGCCAGCAGCGCAAGTCCAGTATTTGTATACAGCAGCCGCACAACCTAGGATTGCAACTTTAGCGTCTTAGCTCAAGTATGTTCATGTTCTCAAGGGATCCAAGAATTGTGTGCGATTAAGTGAAATTCCTTCCATCCCATTTTATGTTCAAATTATGAGGTTCCGACGTAGTTAAATTTAGATCTCCCATAGTAATACTCCCTCCGTCCCAAAATTATTGTCCCACTTTCCTTTTCGGTCCGTCCCGAAATAATTGTCCCGTTTCTAAAACTTCCTTATTTGGTAAACAAATCTATACCAAATAGTGTCAAACAGTGCAAAACAGTGTCGCTACAGTGCCAAACAGTGTCGCTACAGTGCCAAACAGTGGCGCTACAGTGCCATTTTCTTAATTTGTGTGAAAAAACAAACGGGACAATAATTTTGGGACGGAGGGAGTACTAAATAATTCAAATTAGCATTAATAGTTAAGATTTACATATTTAGAAGTTGCGCAAATGTTCTATAGAACCATAAAAGCTTAATTTGAATATGTTAAAAATTCAATAGAAAAAAATAAAAGAAAAAAGGAAACAGGTTAGCCGCACGAATACTGAATGTGACAAAAGAAAAAGAGGATAAAAGTTAAGCGATGAACCAGTTAGATTCCTACATACCTTGTTTGCAGTCAAAGGATCAGGCAACCTGAGGGATTTAAGTTGAGAAGATTCAGCTATGTCGGGGAGCTTCCAGCTTTTAACTTTGTCACCATTGTCTACAGTCCTAGGTTTTACATCAGAGATCCTGCTGCTTTCAATGGTGGCCTATAATTATTATCAAGTTACTAGAAGATCCAAATAAAAGGAAAGAAATTGCAAAACTAAATAGGTGGTGTGTAAAAGGATATAAAAAACCAACTGACCAGATTGCCGATGGACATGGATTGCTGAACTCTGTCACCACGTTCCAGCATTGGAGCTACTGAAACAGGCACATTGGAAATAGGACCTAATGATCCCCCACCAACTGAAGGCTGCAAGGGATAGTTTATAAGGTAACTAAAATTAAATTCTTGAGCTGCTAAGTGAATCGTATCTAGATTCTAGAGAAGTGACTCACATATGGAAGAAATTACTTGATCAATTTACTAAAAGAAATAATGAGATTACTTTGATATTGACAGCTTCAGAAAGACCACGGGTTCCCTCAAGTGGCCTACTCTCTAGCATCCTTAGCACACGTTGCCCATCATTATTTGCCAATATCTTGATTCCATTGTCACTCGTTGTAACAGCCAGTAAAGACCCCTCCTTATTGAACCTTAGTCTAGGGCTGGCCTGCACAAGGAATACCATATATGGAGCTTGTTCAATATTTTGAGCATTTACTAGAAGCCGATTCTCATAAGAAAGGGATACTCACTGGCAATCCACCATCCGCATCAGTAGATGTAAGCATATTTATGTTTTCCATATCCCAAAACTTTATCTGAAACTCATCTCCAGCAGCTAAGAAATGATTTCTTGTTGTGTCAAATTGTACAACTCCTAGAGAACGCTTCCTGAAGCCAGAGTAGGTCCTCTTGATAGCTCCTTCACTCTCATTCCACTCAACAAGGTATGATTCGCCTTCTTTGCTTGTTCCACATGAGAAAAGTCTGAAGGGGAAATGGGATTGATACACAAAAGGCTACTAGTTAGGAATAATCCTATAATGCATCCCCAATTATGGAAGCATTCTGCTGATCGACAGTGTGAAATTGTCATTATATGCATAACAGTATAGAAAGACACTTGAGAGATTATATAAAAAAAAAATATTACTCAATATTCAAACGGTCAAGCTAAAGCCTAAGGCATCTTCTTAATGTAAATATATACCAGCGAGAAGTATAATTATACGTAAATTCAGGAAATTTTGGAGGCCGTAACCCTCACAAAAAGAAACACTTGCTTCCATATCTAACTTGTGGGACAGTATTTTAAATATCAATAATCTCAACTGGGAAAGTAGTTATCAAGTGGTTATACATTCACATACCAAAGATGAACTGGAGCTGGCAGTGGCATATTCAAGGTTATCTTAGATTCCTAGAAAAAGTGTTAAACTGGCACCTTTGGCTTTTCATATTGCAGTCCTCTTCTCACTAGTGTTCTAAAGAGTATCTGGCACGCGATATATATTAGCCTAGCACCCAAGGGCCTAGGCAAGGATTTGGCAGCACCTAGAAAGTGTGCATTCTTATGAATATTTTCTCATGTACGCTTGGCAACTTGTATAGTTTACAACGTTTGAGTTCAAAAATATTCTCCATCTGTTCTCAAGTATAACAAACATTTTTTATCTAGAGCAGTTTTTTATTAAAATAAGTAAAATAGTCCATTCTTTCTAATAATACCCAGTAAATGTTCCCCAGCATTTACCCCACTTAAGGGTGGTTTTCCAACTGGGTAAAAAAAGTAAAATAGAGTCCATTTGACCAAATTGTCCCTAAAGTGGGGCCAATTGAGTCGATAATTTCAAAAGCTAGTGGTGTCCAAATTAGAAAAGCACATGTTACTTTGAGAGGTATCAAAAGGAAAGTAGGACATATAAGTGGGACAGAGGGAGTACTAATTTTATATTTAGATGATAAGATCTAAGTTATGGAGCTAACAAAATATAATCTAAACCTATGTTTTAAGACCCAAACGTCTCATACTCTCATATGTATGAATACTTAAACGAGTCTTTTCAGAACTTTTTTGTCCCAAAAAACAGTACTGTTTTAAAAGTAAACTTTATATTATAAGTAAAGCTATTGTAAAGGCAGCAGCAAGGGGTCATTTTAGTCAACTACTCCAAACAACCTGGAAATAATTTTACAGGTATAAGCACGCGCAGCTATTCATAACTTGTAAAAAGTTGTAACTTGATTGAGTAGGCTAAATATAAAAAGGCGTACATTAGTCAAACATGAATCATTTTGGAACATTTATTGCAGCAAAAACAGCTATTGCTATTATTATTATTAAAAGATAACGTAGATAACCCTAAGAGACATATAATGAAGTTTGGATGATACTGTATCATAGATTCATAATCCAAACACATTTTCTGCACATAAATTTTACATGTACATGGATGCATAGAAAGGAATACTTCATACTTCCTCTGTATTTTAAAGTTTTCTACACTTTCCTATTTGGGATGTATTTAAAAGTTTGCTACACTTTCCCATTTTGGTAAATTTTTCCTTTAAAAATACTCAATTACCCTTACTTTTTCTACTTTTTATCTTCTCTTCCTACTTTTCCAACTTCTTTCCTACTTTTTCTACACTTTTCATTACCCCTACTAGTTCCCCCCTTAAGTATTGTGTCAAAGCCTAATATAGTGAACTTTTAAATACAGAGGGAGTACACATACATAATCAACAGATGAGACAAACTCTTCATGGAATAGATCTAACAGCACCAACTTTTTAGCATACCTTGTACCATCGGCGCTATACGCCATTGTTGTGCACCAAAGTCCGGGTGCATCATAATCCACTCGTGATCCCATGCAATCATAAAGCCATGCTTTTATTTTACCATCAATCGCAGTTGAGAATATGAACTGCAATAGATAAAACACTAGTCTTTAATTTTACTTCTTTATCGCAACAGATATTACTTAAGCACTCTGGTCAATTTAAGGCCGCAACACAGTGAGGGAAGAAAAACAGACTGCAGCTAATCAAGATATTTGAGTCCGCAATATCCATATAATAGAAGCAAAGTAACGAGCTCAGAGAATTGCCTGAATGCTCTCTTTATAGTGAGGACAGACTGAATAGACTGGAGCTTCATGCCCTTCAAACATGTGTAGTCTACGACCAGCTACAGCATCCCAAACCTAATAAAGAAAGCATGAAAAGAGAAGGATCAATATATACATAAACATATATAGACATATATATAGATCACATATGTACTTATGTAGAGAAAAACTCCCTGGTGCCAAATCAGCACTACACTGACAAGCTTTGATTGATTGTACATTGGATTAAAAAGTGGAAAATACAACCAATTAAAGGCTTTTGGCAGGGTGCCAATTCGACACCAGAGCAACTCCATATCGACAAACACATATGTATATAATTAAATTATATGTATGTGTGTGTATATAAATTGAAGGTTCACACCTTAATCAACCTGTCATCACCACAAGTGACTATGCAGAGTTGCTTATTTGGATAGGCAAATGCAATATCGTTAACTCCGCCATTATGAGCATCAATCTGCAAAGTCCAAAGAGTCAAAACACGGTTCCTGATATCAAATATACATTAGCAACCAGACGACACAGTGTGTAGAAAGGTATGAAAGGGGGGATGAGGTTCTTAGGCTTACTTCTAAATGTTGTCTTAACTCTCCTGATGGACTGTATGTATATATTTGAACTATATGCTTGGAGAAAGCAACACCTAGAGAAGAAACATAATAACACAAATTCCAGAAGACCAGAACATATTAATTTCATATAATGAACACATTATTGATGTAGAAAAGGACAAATCTTTCTAACAAGAAGTCATACCAAGTATAGCCCCATCCGGGCCCCATACACATCTATTGACAGATACAGATGCATCTTTCACCAATGCTGTCTGGATGATAAACAATCAAATTGTATATTAGGTGGAAATACCAAATTGTTACTGAATTGACACGATTACATTGTCCATTACTCTATTGATGAATATACGTAATCTGCAGACTCAGAACTGATGATCTTTTTACCCATGTAATAATGTATGCACAATTACAAATGGTATCCTTTGTTCAAATAACTTATTATTTTAAAGACTAGAGAAGGCCATACAGACCCACCTGCAAAGGCATTGAACAGGCTGAGAGATTCCACATATTGAAGTTCTTATGTGCTAACCTTTCCCGAGAACCAACCTCCCAAATACTTATGTCACCAACATTTGTTCCAACTACAAAATCAACAGCCAATGAATAATCATCAATAAAAGTATGAATAAAGATATGGGCAGGGTGAGGGTTTGGCAGTGGTCCAGTATATAATAAAATATCCAAAGTTGTTGATGGCGAGGAATGGCGCATGCACCATATGGCGAGAAAACCCTCCATCGCCATGAAAAGTCCTTATGATGACAGCCATACACATGGTGGTGCCATATTTGCACTATCGTGATGGCAATTGCGCCATAATATTAAGCAAATCTGAACCAGTTTACTTTGATTTTTGGGCTTTTGGCCCTGCTAAATACTTAAATAATCTGTCATGCCATAATATTAATAAATCCCTAATAACAAATTAATATGTTAGCCCATTATATTAACAAAGATAGGTATAATGGTTTAAGGTTTAAGGTAAATGAAAGTCTGAAACATCATGTACACTATCGTTTTCCAGTTTTTTTTAACGTGGCATCAATTTACCCTAACCAAAGTGGCATACTAGCATGCATTTATTTCCAAAAGACAGAAGCTTATGTGAAATTCATAATTTCATATCAAATAAGACACTCCTCCTTCACCACTTCCTGGTATTAACCTGTAATCAACTTATCAAATATCATGATATGTTACTTTATTATAAAGTTAACTGAGCGTGTTTTGGTATGAATGTTGGTATTCAACTTTTTTATCATGTTTTAGTGGTTGGGTGATAGCATTATAGTGTCTATAATTCATATTTTTAGTTATTTTGTCACGTGGCGACGCCATAATTGCGCCATCGCCATGGAAAAATGCCTTGGAGCCATGGATGTTGCCATGTGCCATGACAACTATGAAATTATCTGAAATTTACCCATAAATCATCTCACCCTCACTTATTCATTCGGGGTAAATTTCAGTTAATTTTACCATTGCCAACACCATTCCATAACCCTCTCTTCTTACATACTCCGTATATTATTATCCTAAAATTATACAGCTTTGGTCCCATACAGTTTGTTCCATTTTACCATTTTAGTCCATCCCAAGAAGTTGGACCCATACCATAATTGGAAATACTTATGAGGCTCAGATTACTCCATTCTTTATAATTTTAATGCAAGTCATGATATTTCCTCATCCTTGGTCAGTGCGATACGTCTCTTTGTCTCACACACAATGGGACGGGTGGATAGAGTAATTACATTTAAAGTCGATTGAGTGTTCGGCTTACAAGAATAATTCAGAGAATACACATATCAGCAAATTATGTAAGTAGCATCATAGATCAACCTAAAAGAATAGTCTGTTGTTGGGGATGGAAGTCCATGCTCATTACATTGGATCCTTGGCTAAGATTCCGCACAACAGTTTTGGGAAGATCGTCTGGAGAGTACATATTTGGTGGATGAGTTGAGCCAGAGAAAGATACCTAGAGATCAATATAGAGTATGCTGATCAGGATTATGAACCTACACGAGCAAGATATTGAAAAAGATGTATATTGTCTTTTAGAAACCATCATTTATGCACAAGGCACACCTCATCAGATTGGCCAGATCGAATCCTTTTCATCAGATGCTCAGAATCAGCTGTTTGGTAGTCCATTCCATGAACACCTGGAGGGGTCCTAGGATGTTTAAGGAATGCAGCTACACCCAATTTTGAAGGCAAGAGGACATCAGAAAATTGCAAAGCTTCTCCAAAAACATCAATCATTGCTACAAAAAATAGACTGAGCATTTACAGACAACTAACCGGCACCAGGAGGTTGCACGATTCCTGGAGGGCCCTGGGCAACTGCAGCATGAGGCATTGATGGACTTGCACTTGTCATCCATCCAGCAATTGCACTTGGAGAAGGAGAAACAACTGGCTGGAAAGGCTGCAATGGATATCTCAATGCTTCAAACAAGTGGGACCCTATATGTCATAGGTTTATAGTAACATATAAATGGGTATTTTCTTACACTATGGATTCCAAGTGGAGGAAAAGCTCCAGGTTTTGGAATAGGCCCAAGAAGAGGAGTATTAGTAGGTGGGGGAGGCCGAGCTCCATTGCTAGAAGCACAAGTATGATCAGTAAAAAGTGTTTTGATATCAGGGTTTGACCGTGGATTCTTGCAAAGCTGATGTTGCCAGTTAAGGCTGAAATTCAAAGACATAAACCTTAACACATCAGTAGCATATTATCAATTAGTGTAAGAATGTGGGTCTCTAAAAAATAGAAATTAAAGATACATGGAAACAAATATGGAGTACACTATCAAATTATTAGTCTGATACCTCTGATTTATCAAAGTCCGCAATCGAGAAGCTTTGAATGAAGGTAATGCGAGCTTGTCACGGAACAAAGGATTTGCTTCTATAAGCTTTTTAAGTTCAACCAACATAATATTCCGTGCAGACTTTGTGTCCCCATATTTGGAAAGCTGCTCATTCTGTCTAGAAAGACAAATACAAGAAACCATTAGAAGTATATACAATACTGAGGTGGATAACTGTGAGGTCAAGAATGGTACCTAAAGTTTTCAAGTGTCAGTAATTGGGTAATCTCCTTGAAAAGGTCTTCATTGAAGGAGGCAAAAACTTTGAGATCCTTTACAAGAATATCGACAGCTTTTACTCGATCTTGCCTGAGAAAAAGTTGATCAGTTACAGGTGATAAAAACCTCCAACATCCAATTATGAATGGACAAAGAACTCACTTGTCCAGAGCTTCAAGATATTTCTGCTTTCGTATTTCAAAGAAAATCTTCATAGAATAACGGTTATCCTCAACCTTGGTAAAACCACTTAAATAGCGCTCTACTTCATCCCACTCACCAGCTTGAACTTGTTCCTCAAAGTATTTCATATTGAAGAAAAACCCAGATTCTTGCTCCAATCTAGATATTAATAAATATAATATCAACAACCCAATGTTAAAAATGTTGCAACAGAAAAAATCCAGCTTTACTCACATACATTAGAAAATGAGAAAATAAAAAACTAAGTTTCTACTTTTTATTAAGCGGACACGAAAACAAGCAAAAAATAATGGACAACTAGTCTTTAGGGACTTAGGGTTACCTATATACACATTCACAACTAACATTATAATTCAAAGTGCACTTCTCTGTGCATCATACACAGTGAAGTCAGAAGTGACTTACTTATGGACTGTCTCTTTGAATTTCTCCTCATCCAAGAATTGTAGGATTAAGAAAACCAGTTCCCTACTCAAGGAAGACATGGTCACAGCTCCGGAAGTCCCTAGCCACTCCAGTGCAAATCTTTGGCTTCAAACCTGGAAATAAAGGGAAGATATGCAGTTTGAATGCACGCAGCACACCTTTAAAGAAAATGGGGCTCCTAATCCCAGAATCATGAAACCCCTAAAAAATTCTGCATTAGGCTTCACAGATCACCTACTTAATGTAGATCACTTCGTTAAAAGAACTATACTTATATCAAGGAAACCATAGTTAGCATCATGGAAATGCCCTGCATATTCCACTTCGCCAATGCTAAAGCTACTACAACCACAAAGAGTAATTCACTAAGATTTAGTTCCAGCCAGAATCATCTTATTTATCTCTTTCAACAAAGTCACCAGACAAAGGTTGCCATCTTCTCATTCAGCAGAAAACAGCAGGGCAAAGTATAAGTTCTTTCCACTTCATACCCCCTCCCCCTCCACACTCACCTCGCCATGCATATCCTCCCCCAACCAACTCAAATTAATGCCTCCGATCCCCCAACAAGAAAAGTTCAAAACTTTCTTGGGAAATGAGCTCCAAGGTTTGCCAAAAACATCAAATTCAAAAGCACAATAAAGCATACATATTAAACAATGGCAGGGTATATGAATGCTACATATGTTTCCTCGTTTTCATTCAAACTCACAACAGTGAGAGCAAAATGGAGCTGGTTTCAGATCTGGTCATTCAAGAAATTGAAACCAAAGAGCACTTTTCGAGGGTAAAGGCGGCCTTACAACGCAAAAGCTAGGGTTTATTTCTGTGGTGAACGGGGAAACTACTCAAAGGAACCTCCTTTCACCCTTTACTTTTGCTGCAGACAACTACCCACTACTTCTGTCTTCCCCTTCTCTGTACTCGCACTTTTCTTTTCTCTCTCTATCTCTCTATATATAGATAGATGTGGCTTTGATTATTCGTCCCTCTCGAACCGCTGAGCTTTTATAGGATGGGCTTTTAAACATTTCACGCTCTCGCTCTCTCTCCTAGTACTCCACTAATCCTGTCTCAAATTCTCAGAAATCAGCATCGTGAAGAGATAAAGTCGCATGACTGTGAGTCTGTGACCCTGTGACTGTGACCGAACTATCTCAAGCGTGTCGACATTGCATTTGCTATTACAGCGTCGCCGAGTTTAATTTTGTTTTTGTTTCTTCTATATACGGCACATTTATAGTGGATCAAGAAATGGAAACACTCATATCCAATTCAATTATCAACTTTTTAAACACTCGTACTCCAATTCAATTAGGAATTATACTTTACGATATGCGGAAAATCGTGTTCGATTCAATTCTGAACTTTGATTTGATTTCACTCTATTTTGATATAATCTCATCTCTACTTTGATTTGATTTCACTCTATTTTGTTATAATCTCATCTCTAGTTGAATTCTTTTTATTAAATTTTTTAGAATTAATGACCGGTATATTACTATCAGGCTTTTGGGATCCAATTATATGAGTAGTTTGGGATTTTCCAAAAATGTGACTCCTCATTAACCGTAATCCTTCGGACACCACACGTTTTCGTCGCCTTCACCAAGCCAGCCCCCATCTGGCCAGAGCAAGCTCCTTCTCAGTCCGCCGCAGCCCCCATCCGGCCAAAGCAGCCTTCTTCTCTATCCGCCGCAGCTCCCATCCGGCTAGAGCAGCCTACTAGTGCACTCAGGTAAGTCATCGTCCTTGTCACAGTTCTGATTCTCCCCTCCCCCTCCCATGCGCAATCTGCTTCTTCTCCCCCTCCCCTGCGCAGTCTGCTTCTTCTCCCCCTCCCCTGCGCATCTATTCGCACCATTTCTTGCCAAAAGGCCAGCCTCACCTCCACCTCACCCCAACCTCGCTGCGCCTCAGACTATCCGCACAGGCCGCCTCCTCAACCTCGCCGCACACGCCCCCTCCGCCTCAATCTCGCCTCGCCTCGCTTAAGCCTCATCGTACAGACCAGCTCTGCTCGCCTCGCCTCACTTCATAGGCCGCCTTCGCCCCGCCTCGCCTCAGATGGATGGATGGTCAGATCTGAGATGACGACCAACAATGGCCAGATCTGGGGATGGGGTGGTTGAGCTTGGCTGTCGAAGGTGGGGCTGGGTAGCAGTAGGGGGCTAGGGTTGGAATCTGGTTTGTAGAGCTAGGGCCGGGGAGGGGCCGGGGATTCGATGGCGGTTGTGGACGGAGAATGGGCAGTGGAGCGGCGGTGATTGGGGACGAGAAAGGGCGGCGGTGGCAGCTTTGGCTAGGTAGCAGGTTGGGCAGAGTGTTGTTGGCGGCGGCAGGGCGGCAAAAAACTTTTCCGGTGGCGGCGTCACTGAAAAATCCGTATGGCGGTGTCACTACGGCGGCATCACTGTAGCGGCGTCACTGTGGTGGCGTCACTGTGGTGGCGTCACCGAAAAATCCATGTGGCGGTGTCATTGTGACGGCGTCACTTTTGCATGTCACTATGGGTCGGTCTCCCGGCGGTGGTCTCCGGCCGGCGGTGGTCACCGGTGTGTGGTGGTGGTTGAAGTCACTGCGTAGCATGTCACTATGGCGTGTCACTATGACGTGTCACTGTAGCAGCAGTTAAAATTATTAAGTTTTTCCTAATATATGACCTTGTTAATCACATTTTTGTCAAAATTTAAAAGTAATCACTTTTTTGGAAATTTACTCTAACTTAGTAATATCTAGGGGAAACCCCCAATTTTTTAAGCGTGTTCTTCATCAAATGTATATTATCTCTACAAAATAATAGCTACAAATTCAATCGGGAATGCAGTTAAATAAATTATTGAAATATACTTCATTTTATATATATAAATAAAGCGCAATATGTTTCAATAATTTATTTAATTGACTTTTCAATTGAATTTTAAAATGAGGTTTTATGAAGTGATGGAGATAATCTACACTTGAATGAAGAACATGCTCAAAAAATTCCATTAGGAAGGGTCCCAAATGGCGTTGGTTAGATGGCGGATCCTGTGAGACCAACGTGACGAAATCATTCCTCATGTAAATATATTTCTTCTTTTGATAATGTTTTCATTTGAATTGAATTTAACCTCACATTAGGGGTGGCTGCAATCATATAGGTGAAGAGTGGAAATGTAAAATAATCATTTCATATTCATATGATGTTTAATCATATAAAAAGAGTAGAGGGAATGTTATATTGTGTCTAAAACGCACCGTACAATTTACCTTAAATTAATCATAATGTATTTAATCACAAGACACTGAAGTGATCTTTTCGTCTAGCTAATACATACTCCTTATAATTGATTATAACATTCATAAAACTTTTTCTTGTGTTTTCTAACCGATTATAATATGTGTATTATGTTATAGGTAACATCTTTGAATTGAGATGAAATTCGAACTCTTAACTTTCTCTTTAGGAGTGTACAGTGACTTGGCAATATTCATGATGGAGTATATGGCACAGGGACCCCCGGCCCACATACTTTCACTGTCACAATCAGGCCCAACAAGCCCAAGCGGGCCAAGCCCAGCGGGATGGAGCTCTAAGCGGCCCACAATACATGAAGGGGTGCCTTCGGCCCCATGGCCGAAGGCTACCAGTGACGGAATTGGGCTCAGAAACATCACAGGAGAACAAGTCTGGAAAACCATGCCTTCGGAAATTGGAGCCCTCGGCACCATGAGGTCCCTGGTACGCAGAGCCTTCGGACTGTCATCTACAACCGAAGGCTGTCTCCTCGACAGAATCTCCCATCCACATGCGCTGGATCACCGTACCAAGTACAAACGTCGCATCCAACCACCGCATTTAATGCGGCCACATGCGAATGTCAGTGCCACCCCGGTTGAGGTGACCCCTCGACCGCTAGAATGCTGACACGTGTCCCTATCTAGCATTTATTGCTGCTATAAATAGCACCCCTTTCCCCCATCGTAAACCACGCTCAATACAACTCGAATACACATTCGAACCCTTTATCTCTCTTATTTACTTGCTCTGACTTCTCTCTAGGTTACTCCCCGCAGTAACCCCTCGGATAAACTACCCCCCGTGTACATTATCCATCATTTGGTGCTCTCGTTGAGAGGTCGAACAATCAAGTAAGAAACCCTCCCCTTCAGCTCAAAACACCTATCGAAATGGGAAGAACCACCCGTGCTCAGTCCAAGAACCTTGAGGACAACAACCTGGCCCTCGGTGAAGTCAACGCCCCCGGAGCCTCTAACAAGGCTCCCGAGGGCGGCGTCATCACTGAGTTGGAACAGACTGCTGTTGACCTGCGCCTTCAGCTTCAGCAAATGCACCCGATGCCCGTCTTGGCATCGAAACCCGAAGGAGGGACCGGAGCGAAAATCAAGTGAGCCCTCCAGTTCTCACCATCGACGTATAGTCGGCATTCTCTGCCTTCATCCAAACACTCACTCAAAACACAGATGCCTTCGGCACGCTGGTACCACTTCAGCCGCAGGTTGGGGAGAACGCCATTCCTCCCCCTCCTCCGCCCCCCTTCGTGAACCCTATCCTTCGGCTAGGGAACAACGAGGGGGTCATGGCCCAAGACACCACGTCCCAGGAGGTCCAATCCCGGGACCAACGCGAGGCGAATATAAAGAGACCTCGGACCTCCGCCCTCGTGAGGCTTGGAAGAGCGCAGGATCGCCGAGGGGTCCAAGACCGCCTTGGTGTGAAGGCACTCCAAAGACCCCAAGAGAGCGGGGGGTCAGTATCGAGGGCAGACGAGAGGTGTCCCCCTCAAGACAAAGGCAAGGCACCACTCCACGCCGACGACGCAAGACATCAAATCAACCAGGCCCACTCGTCCCGTGTTCGTTCGCAGGGGGCGGAGGCCCTCCCGAAGGATCACCGGGACAATGTCATTGAAGCCCTCCAACGCCGCCTTGATGAGATGGAGGCCCGTCAAACGCACACAGCAGACTAGGATGCCATTTACCCCAAGGGTATTGGCAGCCCAAATTCCGAGAAAGTACCGAGGGCAACTCATCAAGCCCTACGATGGGAAGACTGACCCCCAGGAGCATTACAGCAGATATCAGAACAGTATGATGATGGTGGGGGCATCGGACGAATATTTGTGTCGTTGGTTCCTCTCCACCTTGGAAGGACCAGCGTACGAATGGTTCAACCGACTACCCAAAAGCTGCATCGATTCATGGCAGGAACTCACCCAACTTTTCTTGATGCAGTTTGCAGGGAGGCGCCGGTCAAGAAAGCATTTCTCCCACTTGATGACGGTGAGACAAAGAAAGGAGGAGACCCTTCGGGACTTCTTGGAACATTGGAGGACGGAGGCAGATAAAGTTGACGGTGCTGACGATGGGACCCTTCTGGCCCTCCTTCAAACAGTCCTCCGCCCTGGGAACTTTTCAAGGAGCCTCATCATTGAACCTCCCCGCGATTACATAAGGGCCCTACAGCGGGGGACCGGTACGCCGAGGCCGAGGAGGTGGAAAAATGTCATCACAATCCCGATCAGCAACGCCCTCGGCCAGATGACAAAGGCAATCGGGGGCCGGGGGCTCCCCCAAATCAATCCAAAGGTTCGGCACCCCCCAGTGATTGCCCCTGGCATGGCCAAGCCAAGCACGGGAAAGGTTGCAAGGCAAACCCGAAGGCTTGGGCACAACCCATTCTCCTGGAACACCCTCGGACACCCCTGACGCACCCCGTCAGTGTCATCCTGGACAGGGGTATTTATAGGCCTCCCAGTCCGGGCTTGGGGCAAAAAACTGGGCCCCCGATGGAGGAATCATCATTACACGCCGCCTCCTCCGCCAACCAGTGACACCCGCTCGCAGTCAGCCAACGTGTACACGCCATGTGGACATCACCTCCAACGGCTATATCCCAACGATCATATTCCAGTTGTCATGTCCCAACGGCTCTCTTTCACAGACTAAGTTACCTCATCTGACACCCCCCAGACAACATTGTGCTCGCCTTCGGGCTTTCTCCTTCAGACTCCTTCATCAAGAGGAGCCCCCGGTTTAACAATGGGTAAACCCCTCAAGACCCCTCAGCATGTTGAAAACCAGGGAACCCTCCCGGGGCCACAACTTCACAACCCCTCATCTGTGGTTAGCCTCCGGCTAAAATACCAGGGAACCCCTCAGCATCACCAGGACACCAACGAAGGGCCTTCGGCAAAATCAACGATCAAACCCTCAGATCATGGATAGCTCTTGGCGGCAACATTACTCTTCATCTCAAACCCAGTGCGGACCTTTTTGATTCATCATTGGGGGAATTCGGTGCACTTTTTTTCCCTCATTGGGATTTTATCCCAAAGGGTTTTTTCTAATGAGGTTTTTAACGAGGCATCCCCCCAAAATGAAACAAAGAGCACAAGCCTTCGGGCCCATGATGAAAACAGGCACCACGCTACTCCTTTCCACCACATTATATGTGCCTCAAGGAGTGGGGGACTCGAGGACCCCTTCGGGAAATTCACAATGTTACAAATGTAAAAATTTTCCTTCGGCCCCAAAATGTGGGGGACTGAGGGACTGCCCTCGGAAAACACGCAAGCGCAAGACTCCTCACCACTTTTACAAATGACAACAAGGCAACATCCGAAGACAAACGCGATTACTCCTTTTCCCTCAAGTACCTTTCGGCAAAAGGACTGAGGGACTCCTGATGGAGTATATGGCCCAGGGACCCCCGGCCCACATACTTCCACTATCACAATCAGGCCCAACAGGCCCAAGCGGGCCAAGCCCAGCAGGATGGAGCTCTAAGCGGCCCACGATACATGAAGGGGGGCCTTCGGACCCATGGCCGAAGGCTACCAGTGATAGAATTGGGCTCAGAAACATCACATGAGAACAAGTCTGGAAAACCATGCATTCGGCAATTGGAACCCTCGGCACCATGAGGCCCCCGGTACGCAGAGCCTTCGGACTGTCATCTACAGCCGAAGGCTGTCTCCTCGACAGAATCTCCCATCCACATGCGCTGGATCATTACGTACCAAGTACAAACGTCGCATCCAACCACCACATTTAATGCGGCCACATGCGAATGTCAGTGCCACCCCGGTTGAGGTGACCCCTCGACCGCTAGAATGCTGACATGTGTCCCTATCTAGCATTTATTGCTGCTATAAATAGCACCCCTTTCCCCCATTGTAAACCACGCTCAATACAACTCGAATACACATTCGAACCCTTTATCTCTCTTATTTACTTGCTCTGACTTCTCTCTAGGTTACTCCCCGCAGTAACCTCTCGGATAAACTACCCCCGGGTACACTATCCATCTATTCAAAAGACTTAAATGTACATTTATTACATGCAAATTTGTGACAAGAAATATCAAGAACATAAGAGTGTTTATTTAGTAATTTTATACTTCTTATGTCGTGAAAAGAACTTCTTAATTTGACTTGCAGATTGTAGGATTGAGTTTTGTTTTTACTTTTCAAATATATCGTTCATTCACATCAAATCAAGCAAAAAGTAGTCAAAATGTGAGAATAGTTGTGACATATGTAGCATCAATACGGGTACGCGGAAACGAGTACGGGAAAACAAAAAAAAAGTATGATACAAATACGGGGGCATATTTACATATATTAAAAGTTATGGGGTATATTTATAAAGATTAAAAATTATGTGGGTGTATTTATAAATATTAAAAATTACAAGATTTTTTTGACAATATATACATATATTATCCTCTTGCATCTCCCCATTCATGGTATTGAAGCATTTCACATTATCAAAATAGTTACAAATAAATTCATTCTTTATCTCATATACACTAGTGCGTGCATCTCAAAATATAAATATAGTTAATAAGTCATTAATTTAAAAAGAGAAACGAGTCAAACAATCACAGTTTTGAAATTAAAAATGCAAGTACTCAAAGTTTTTGGATAATGGAAATAGAAAACAATACTCTAATAGAAAACATATTTTCACTTGAGCTACTAATTTATAAGGATAACATCGTATTCTAAAAAGATATTCTCCAATTCTAGTTCATCTATGGAAAGGTTGGCGAACTCAGGTCATCTCCACCAACATCCCACATTTTGTTTGTCGTCAATATACAAGGTAAAGCAAGGTAAAGCTTGATTTTAGTTTTTCTTTTTTAAGAATTTTATTATGTAAATTGTGGGTATTTTTTTATAGTTATTTAGAGGTATTTTATTATAAGAATTTGTCTTCTCATAAATTTTCATAGTTATTTATTTGTTGGTTTGTTAAATCAACCGTAAGATTGATTGATCTGTATGTCCAAAAGGTGATTCAATGTTTAATTTTTCTATTTAATTGCAAGAATCGTGTTTTGAAGTTAACCGAGTATTGATATCTGTAAGTGATATTCACAACGATAGGTGGAGATTGAAATAGACGCGCTTTCAGTGGTGCAGGGTATCAAAAGAGGAGATGGCTCGATGTATCTTCACCTTATAATTGATGATATCATGAAGATTTTAGATTCTAAGAATAACTTTATCGTCTCTTTTTGTAGAAGGTCTGCGAGTCGTGTTGCCCATGTTCTTGCAAGGGCACAAGTCTCTATCTCAGACCAGGGGATTATTTATGATGTGATTCCTCAGTGTGTTGTAAGCCAATTGTCGAATGACTTATTGAAGTAATATAATACTCCGGTTGATGATAAAAAACATATATTTTTACCTTTGGTCTTGATTTACTTCCCAAATTTCGGATGTTTTCGGTCTGAAATTTTTTATATGGCTTTGGTAATTAAATGTACATTATGTTAAACATATATGTTATTCAATCATAAGCATAAAATATCTTAAGTCAAAAAGGGCCAAAATTCACTAGATACGTATCGCGGACGGCCGCACCCTAGAGCTCTATAGGGTTTGCGTGGAGTTTGGACAGCTTATCGCGGAAGGTACGGAGCAGTAGCAATCGACGAGGGTATGAAGCAGACTTATCGGCGAGGGTAGCGAGAAGCACAGTTGCTGCGGCAACTGCTTGTAGCGGAGATCTGCGACGGAACAAACAAGCGACGCAAGAGAAGGGCAATCGGCGGCAGTAGCAATCGCAATCGGCTTCGGCCGAATTGATACCTCAGACGGCAACAACATGCAAGGCGGGACGATGAAAGGTAACCAAAGGGAGGCGATGGAAATTTTGACTCAAGTTTATGGAAGGATGGAGACGAAGGAACATGATGAAGTCAAGGACAATCCGCGGGACTATGATCGTTTTGACTTGAAGCCAGAGAGTGAAAGGTTATTGGTTCATCCCCCTCCAGAGCCGCCGCAAGAGAAGGAACGAATGGCAAGGGTTTGGAGGCTTATTTTGATTAGTACTTTTGCTTGTTCCATTTGTTATTTCAATATTCAAGCCGTACGGAATAATTCTTGCTTTGTGGACATTAGCCGTAGGTTCTTTGTTTAATTTTTCATTATTCAGTTTAGGTTTGTAGGTGGAAGCGATAAGGCTTGTATGGCCGGTAAAAGCTTCGAATCTCTCATATGGTTAGCGAATAGTCTCGCTCTTTTTAGGGTGGTCTATTTTGTGTCTAGTCGGAGAGTGGGAGGGTCGTTTGTCTATGTGAAGCCTCATAGGGAGGTTTGGCGTTTCTTGATTGTGGGGTTGTTGTTATCATGGATTGCTATAATATAATTAGTTTCCTTTCAAAAAACATAAAATATCTTAAGGAATTGATATATGTTACGTATATGGCTATCATATTTTTATATGATATATATGTGCTTTTATTTATGTTTAAAATGGGATGAAATTAGTTCATATGATCATACATAATTTAATCATATACATTTTTCTTTCGAGAAGGGGTAATTTATACTTTGTGTCTTCCGGTTCTTCGTTAATTATACATATTATAACTTTAAAAGAGTTATATTTGGTTTGGGACAATACATGTGAAATTTTAATGAAATTTCATAATAATTTTAAAATTCGGATGAACTTATGTGAAGTTTTAATGAAATGTCATGATAGTTTTAAATTGGATGAATTTAAACAACATTTTACCAAAGTAACCTTTGTTGGATTGACTAATTCAATTAAACTTGTATCGATCATAAATGGTTGTATGTGATGATTCATGTGAATTATGCTCAGCCCAAAGGAAGACATAATTTGATCGAATTATGATCAGCCCAAAGATAAGACGGAGAATCCTCATTTTGCTTCAGCATCTCACAATAAGAAGAGAAAGAAACATGCGGTCGGTGCAGAAAATACTTCAAAGAAGAAGGTGAAGAAACAAGGTGAGGCATTTGCTTGTTTTTTCTGCAAAAAAAAAATCTGGACACATAAAAAGGGAGTGTCCTAAGTACGTTGCTTGGTGTGTGAAGGAGGGTAAACTTCTCAATTTTGTTTGTTCTAAAATTAATTTAGTTTTTTACCTAAATACACGTGTGTTAGTATATATGTCCTAGCGACAATCACTTTTTAGAGATATATGTACTTGATCACATTCAATTTTATATATTTGATATATATGGTATTACACATTGATGATTAAGTATCTCGAATGTCAATGTCTTATTCATAATTGTGTTCCCTTGGACTTATGTTGTCAATAAGTAAGTGAGAGCTTATATGATATAACACAAGGTCTTAAAATAGCCTCAATCAATGATTATCAAGAAATGAATATTGATGATATGCGTAAGATTGGTATGTGGATTGCATCATACTCTTATAAAGTATAGTTGATCTCACAACTATGAGTTCATGTAATTCATGATGGTCACATAGATATTTTAGAGAATACTCGCATACCCACCGAGAAACTATTTGATAAACTCTAATCATGTGTCTGGGATTATCGGCGTATAGAGTAGTGTAATAGTCCTTCGACTTGAGGTCAATATGTACTACATGTGCAGAGTGATGTACTTTGACCATGACCAACGCTTGCACTCCAATCGGGGTAGGTACGATGTGTTGGGTACATCATGAAGTACATGGAGTACTAGTTGAGCCAAGAAAGGATTCATTCCTCGTAATAGATTAAGAGAGAATATTCTACGTCTCATATCTAGATGAATCATAAAGTCATTGGTCAATGCAAAGATATATTCATTTTAAATACTGAATATGATCGTTATGGATCATCTAGAAAGATTGAGAGATAGTGACTAAGCTATTGTAATAGACACAATATCAAGTTCTAGACTTAGTTGAATGTTCGTTAAATGAAAGGATCGTATCACTATGAGCTCTCTATATTACAAGAAGTTTGAATAGTTCTCGCAAATGTCCTTATACATTAAGTTTGTCTGGAGAATCGTGTTGGATTCGCTAAGACACTGATTTGATTAGTGCTTAATATATAAGGCCCGACCAATGGGTCACACAACAAGTGATTATACCTTCCGACTGAATTGTTAGAAGGAATTAAATATTAATTGGATTAAATAATATTTAATTCGTAATACTGAAAATGGATTAAATATTAATTAGATTAAACATATTTAAATCACGATGTTGAGGGAGAGTTCTATTTGATAAAATTAATTGTGTGATAAGTTAGATTTATTATACTTAATTAAGATGTATTTTTAATTAAATAAAATTGGTATTTTTCTTTATGATTTAGAATTAAAAGGAAAATAAGAATAAATAAATAATTGTGTAGAGAGGAAGGAAGTGGCGTGAAACATCTTCCCCTCTTCTTATTATTTTATATTATTATTTGATTTATTTAATCATTAATAAGTATTGGTCCTATTAAGACTAGAACTCATTAATGAGAAAGACTTTCATTGTGATTGAGAAACCAGTCTAGAACTAGTATAAATACATCATCCTCCCTCATAGTTTAGTGACTAGTTTTCTAGATTCAGTATTACCAGTTTATTTCCCTGCAAAGATATTTCATAGCCTTTCTCTTTGGAAGATCTAACCGTTATTTCGGGAGGAGAAATCACGTGGATACCTAAAGTCAAGGATTACCACAGCTAGGTTGGAAGATCTGTAAGTCCTAACTCAGATCTGTTATTATTGTTATATTCGTTGTTTTGTCATAATCGGGGAAGATCTGTTTGGAAAATTTGTAAACTTCCGCTATTGTACTTTTGAGGTACGTTACATCAATTTCCTAACAATGTGCTGGGTAGATTATGGTGCTACTGCTCACATAAGCATGTCTATGCAGGATTGCCTATGGAGTCATCCACCAAATGATGCTGAAAGTATATTTATGTTTGTGATGGCAATTAAGTTGAAGTTCAAGCTATAAGAACTTTTAGACTACTTTTAAAGGCTTGTTTTTATTTGAATTTAATTGAGACCTTTGTTACACCGTCTATTAGGCAGTGTGTAATTTCTATTTCTGTTTTTGGACAAATATAGTTAATCTTGTTCGTTTGGAAATAATAAAGTTAGTTTCTCTTATAATTCGGATATTGTTAGTTATAGGTCTTTATTTACTAGGTAATCTTTATATGTTTGATATTGAGTTCTTATGTAGTGAGATACTGCATGCATAATCAAGTGGTACAAAATGACAATTAAATAAGAATTCTATCATTTTTATGGCATACAGTAAACACAGAGCTTCAGACCCAATAATAAAGGGATTACCACCTAAAGTCTTTCATGAGCATACAACTCATATGAGTGTGGTTGCCAAAGTTGTTTGGTTGAGTGGGAGTTTTCTTTTATGATTCATTAGTACAAAATTTGAAGTTTCTGCAGAAATAAAGTTTATTAGCTTTATAACAATTTTTTGTATCTAGTTATGTGTATTATTTTATTTACATTAAGAGATTTAAGGTTGGTCTCAATAAAAACAGGAGCTAGACTGATTGAAAATAGGCATGATGGAGACCACTTCACAATAATTTTCATGCTGCTCACTCATATAGATCTATGTCATCAATTGTATTTTTTGTGGTTGACAGATAGTGTACCCAGTGGGTAGCTTATCTGAGGGATATTATAAAAAATATCAAGGGAGAGGTTAGAACAATAAGTAAGAGAGAGGGAGAGTAGGTGTGTATTATAAACGAGCTCAAGATTCGAATCCTCTACAATGAAGAAGAGACTAGCTATTTATAACTGCCATAAATGTGATGTGAATAATGCAAGTACACGTGCGATACCTTGAAAATTTGAAATAAAAATAAATAAATCAGATAAGTTATATCTGATAAATCAAATGAAAGTAATATCAAAATATTTTGTATTATACTTGGTGTATAAAAATATATGCACACTACATGCAATAGAATTAAACACTTATGTGGCATCCGAAAAATAAAATAAAAATAAAATGGAAATAAATCAGATAAAATATAGATGACAAAATAAATAAATAAATATAAATAGTAAGAATATTAAAAATTACTAATAATAACATCAAATTAATAAATGAAAATATCAGATCATAAAACAATGACACATGCTAGGATCACCTACCAAATAATGTATATACATTATGTACATATATTTACATTAATAATTATATATATTTATATGTAAAAATTAAAATAAAAAATAGAATAAAATAAA